ACTTAAGGGTTTTCCTTCCATGCATACCACACTTACTGTGATAGATGTTTGACTGTTTTAAAACATTGTCTGGTTAGCCTAAACTGAAAACTCATTTTTGATAGGATATAAGTCTTACAAACTACACATCTCTGAAAAATGGCCCTTATTTAAAATCTTCTTTTGTATTCTCTGGGTGCTATAAATTACCTTACCAAAATAATTTATAATTAATAGCATGGCTATTTATTATGCAGTAACCGGCATAAAATGCACAGGAGCATAACCAAAACAAGGTCAGGTAAAGTTTTTGTTTTAACGTTACTGAATAATCAGGTAATATTTCTTCTTAAATGTAGAATTTGCATCCTGTCAACCAAGGGCTAGTATCCCATACCTTATTATTAGGATAATAATACGTAATTTATGTTAGGGTTTATTTGGGGTGTTTTCTGCAAGAAAACAACCTAGAAAGTTTCTTAAGTTAGAAAAGAAAAGTGAAGTAATACTAGAGCAGTAGGACTATGAGTTGTACCTATGCAAGCCAACTACCATATATTCCACATGGTAGGGATGACCTCTCCCCTACAGGTTTGTTATGAATATGGAATGAGGGCTGGAGTAGGGAGAGCCATATATTTCCTGCTGGAAAGGAGTGATATAAATGTAATGTAATGAATGGAGGATATATGGGATTGGCCAAGAAAGAAAAAGGGTATTCAACAAAACCTTAACTTCTTAAATATTGCAGGCCAGGGTATACTTGTCTGGAAGTAAGTCTTGTTGAGCTTGGTTTGATCTTACTTTTAATCTTGCTTTTAAAGGCCTGTAAAATATTTACACCTAAAGGCAGGAGTTTATTATACCTTCTGCTCACTTTGCTAATTAGGATAAAAGTGATTTCTCCCACTTTGTTTATTTTTTGTTCAACCTCATCATAGAATACAATCATCATGTCATTCTCAGGTGAGTCTAATACAGGATCTTTCAGGACAATTTTTGTAAGGAAAGTTTCTTGGGGAGAAGTCAAATTAGCCACATACAAGCATGGAAGCTGTTCATATTGCATTTTTGGACTGCAGCTTGCAAGACAGCGCACTGACTGGAACAGGAAGCAGCTCTGATGGATTGCTTTTGATCAGGATCACAGCACGGGAGTCAGGGGCTTGGCCAGTCCCTGACTCTGCATCCAACTTCCTCATTGCCTCCGAATTGTGGATCATTTCAGGACTAGCTGAAACAGAACACTTCCTGCACACCCAGTTCTTTTCCTTCTCCCCCATCACTGGACTGCTGCTTACACTGGAAAAAACTTAATGTGTTAATTACATTTCCCCCACAACAAGTGGGTGAGAATTGTGTGCTAGCTACCCTAAGATCCTCTGGGGAAGGGCAGGATAAAACTAACGTAATAGAATGCATAAATTGTCTGAGTCTAACATTGCTCGGTGTTCTTTCATCCGCCCCCTCCAGCCCACTCATTCACTTCACTTGTGAGGAAGGCAGACTTCATTGCTTGCCCAGATATCTTGCCACTGAGAACTGTATACGGATTATTCATTCTGCGTGCAAAAACAAATGGCCATATTTATACCAATAAAATAAGACCATAGGCAATAGCTTTGATTTGGTTCCCTCAGCTACTAGACATGGCCAGGGATGTGCTGAACAGCTTATTTTTAACATGAACATAATTTAGGTTTTTTTTTTTTTAACACTGAGGGATATTTTTAAAAGCAACAGCTCTGAAGTGATCTGTCATATTTTACTTTCTAGCAAAGCCAGGAGTCTGTTTGAAAAGAATGCAGCTCCAATTCTCCACTTGTCTGGTTTGGACGTGACTGTGGTGAAGGTAAAGAATTAGGACGGACTTAACCTTTCTCTTCCTAGTAATTATTTGTCTCTTCCAGTACATATTGGTCAGAATTCACCTCATGTTACTAGAGGTGAAACTAAAGCGAAAGAGGACACATGCTGAAGTGGAAGGATATTATTATTTTTTATTATTTTTAAATAATGCCATTTTGTGGGGGAGGGTTGTGGCATTTAGTTTGTTGAAATAGAGTGATGGAAAATATGTAATGCATCTTGATGAGAGACCCAAGAGAATGTTTTGGAGTGACAGCTACCAATGCATGCCGGTAGGTAGAAGAATTGGTAACTGGCCACGCAAAATTTTGATGTGCAAGAGCTCGTAAAATTGCCACAGAACACTTGAGATTGATAAAGAACACCATTTCACACCTGCAGTCACCCTTTGGATGGGAACTACTCAGAAATGCTGATGGGAGCATTAAGTACATAAGAAGAAGAGAAAACTTGGATGGATTAAACATTTTTGGGATTGTGTTGTTTTGGTTATTAACTTATTTGTGCGGTATGCACAAGAAATAAAGGCGGATCATTTTCCATTCATAGGCAGGAGGGAAATGTCCCACCTCTGGGGGACTTAAAGACCAAGTAGGCTAACAACCATTTCCTGGAAAGGCAGCATCTCTCATTTTATGAAAATTTAAGTGATGCTACCTTTATGCTGAAACAAATTAATATTCTGCCTAGTCTGGCAGGTAGCAGCTCTACTGGGTCTCAAGCAGGGGCTTTTTTCCTAACCCTGGTACTCAAAATCCAGGAGAGACTGTTGAGTTCCATATTAGTGGGCCTCATCCATTGCAGCTTCACTTTTGAGCTTTATGGGAGTTGTGCATGGTGCTAAATCCCATCCCCAAAACAGGCTTGCCACTATTGAGCATCATGGACAGCTCCTATAAAGCAGAAGAGAAACTTGCCATGGTTCAGGAACTCTACTGCCAAAACCTGGCTGTGGTAGTGATTTATTTATATCACACCATCCATCAGTGTGCGTGGTGCTTTACAAAGCACCTCCTTGCGTGAAAAGTTTGTCTTCTGCAAGTGAGGGATGAATCCTTCTCATCAGTTAGCAAAGGTATTGTGTCTGTCCAAGGGGTTATGTTGTTAAGTACAACATGTGCAATTGCTATGTCAGAACTTGGATGGCAAGTGGCTGCACGTTCTTCCAGTGCTCTAAGATGTAGTGTGGACAGTTCAATAGGTGGTGCTGTTTGCTTTCACTAATAAACCAACAGAGAGTTTTGACTGAAAGGCAAGGAAGGGAACAATCTATTTGAAGAGACTCAGCCATCTGTTAGTCCTGCAACTTCTCTTCTTCTTTTTACATCAAAAACAAGTGATATTACATGCTTTGGGTTAAGTACTTCTAATTTAAAAATAGCCCAGACTGTATTTCTCTTAGGGTGCCATCCTCTGCATTCAGGGGATTGTGGGCATCCAGTTGGAGTATGAGGGCAAGGATTGCCTCTGTGCTTCTCATGTCCTGCAATAGACACAGACTGATTTTGGCCGTCTGCATCTTTTGCCCCTGCTCATAGAGAAGGAGCTGAAGCACTGCCGGGAGTCTTCATATTCCAGAGTGATGCCCCTTTCCCCCTTTCTGCCCCCTGGAAGGCTCCCCGCCCCATGCTGGCACTTGTGATTTTGGAGCGGCAGCGGGCATGGGAAGATCCATGCCTGCTGCAAAGGTGACTGGAAGGTGCTCCATGGTTGGAGTCACAGCTCCACCCTCAGAACACACGGCTAAGGTGGGAGCTGGATTCTTACCTATCCTCTGGCCACCCTCTAGCTGCCACAGGCTTGTGCCCTTAGTTGGGTGAAAAAATATATTGTTAGAATGTCTCTGTGTGATGTACGGTGAGCCTGGGGGTGGTTGTTTTATGGGCAGAATACATATTTAAAAAATAAATAAGATGGCACATACTGTGTTGAGATTAAAAATATACTTGTGCATGTGGAGCTAAAACATATATACCAATTTTTCCTTCGGGGCAGGCAGTGTTAAAAGCACAGTACATTTCTGCACTTCTTTTTAAATCACAGACAGATTATGAGGGGCAAGCAAAGAAGTTGCTGGAGCTGATGGAACACACAGACATGATTATAATTGCAGGAGGAGATGGAACTCTACAAGAGGTACTGTGAAATTTCTTATGTGTTCCTTATCTTCCCTCACCTGCCTTTGCTGGCATCTTATCCATATTAGAAGCAGTGAAATGGAGGCTGAATTATACTATCAATAATTTTTTCAGGGCTCCTTTGCAAGTAGTTAATCTTGAACAGCACTCTCAGGTAATCCCAGCCCCCAAAGGTGCAGTCTCCTTGAGTATACAAGATGTAGGAGCTAGAGACAGACTACAGTTTGGACATTATTGGTACTTGGTGATGACTGGTCAATTTTTCTTTTTTAACCATGTACAAAACCCTCTTGCTGCTTATGTCTGCCAATGTCTCCCCAGTGCTCAGGTTTGGCTTATATCGTCATGTTATTTCTGCCGTATTTTAGGAGCACAAGGCATTTCTGTGCCTAAAAATATTTAGTAATGTGTGTTTCAAACATACTTTACTATCCCAGCCCCTGATTATTTCCTTTCAAGGAGAACTTCTGTCATGTATGCAGTTCTTGTGGAATATGGCCACTTAACAATTGGGAAGAAACATTGTACAATGGATAAAGAAGGTACAAAATTAGTATACAGAGATTCAAATTTCCCTTAAATGCAGAAGCACAGATACATGATCATCTCTCTTCCAGTTTCAAGTTACTTGTTCTAAAGAAACTGGAGCTAACATGAATGTTAACTTTGTTTGGCTGTAATGCAAACTATTAATACATTAACACATCTCTGGATTGTGAACCTTTTTGTGACTGCACCTTATGTTGTTTTGAGAAGATTGGAACTGTTCACTTCTATTAAGTAGCTGCTCTTTAGTATTACGTCTCAATATAGACAAACTGTAAATTAGGAAGTTTGCTTGTTTCCCTAATCCATAGCTAAGATTAAACATAGTGTAGAGTTCAGACTGACAGCAAAAGGAGAAGGGGACGGCACAGGTTGAGGTGGCTAGACGGGGTCATTGGGGTGGTTGGGGTGAGCTTAGGTGAACTCCAGGGGATGGTGGAGGACAGGAGAGGCTGTAAAAAAGTTGTCCATGGGGACACGACTTTGCGACTAAACAACAAACAGGAGTTCAGGTATAACATGAAACTGCAGTTAGTTGAAAATGGGAAGAAATGCTTCTGATCTGGGGTAAGGTGGCAAGGGAGCTGACAAGAATGAATCTTGTTTATTTAACCCTAAGCCATAGTTGAATCTACTGTCTGAACCAGGCTAGTGCTGACCAGGAGCTGGCTTTTGTAGGATCAGATGGCTGGCTTTAATGTCCGCCTTCTTGCTGGTGAGGTGGGGAAGCCCTTGAGGAAATACAAAGCCTGGTTTGTCAATTGGCTGCACTTAAGGCAGATGTGGGGAGCCTCTCCCCCTCCAGATCCTGCTGGAGTCCAGCTGTCTGCCCTGTGGACCATTGCCCATGGTGGCTGGGGCCAGTGGGAGTTTTAGTCCAGCAGCACCTGGAGGAATATCAGTTCCCCTCCTTTGACTTAAGGGCTCCAATCTCTGCCTGGCCATTTGCCAGCCTTTTTGTCCCTTTGAACCTTGACCTGTCTCGGAGGTTACAGGTTTTGTCTCTTAATCTAGTTCTGTGAAAGCTGCAGGGTCTGTTTTATGAGAGAACAACTGTTAAAGCTGCATCTTATCCAAAGAACTAATGTATCATGAATCCTGAAGCCTTTTGTAAGTTTGGCACCACGTGTAGAATAACTGAGGATGAAGGCTGCATATGATGCTGGTTGAGGGGCCATGTGTACTGGGCACACACCTACAGTGCACATCTAGTGAACCTGGTGTGGGTTGCTCTTGCCTTGTGGGCACTGATGGAGACAGGATAATCTGTTTGAGGATTTCTTGGGGAGGAAGAAGAGAGCACAGGCAGGAGAGGGAAAAACTTGATGGTGGTTGTGGGGTCAGAACAGCTATGCAACAGTAGCAAGAAAGGCCTGGGAGGAGCACTGGATGTGCACCTGGTTAGTAGTGAATCAACTGTAGTGGTTTCCTATATGTGTTTCAAAATTTGGTGAAAAACTTTTCTGGAGCCTGGACAGCTACCTTCCTTACTTTCCCTGCCCTTGCCCGGTCCTTTTCTGGGTAAGGCCCTCAGCTTTAGAAACAGAATGAAATGGGATGTGGGGGAAGGATTGCTGATAAGATTTTTTCCTCCTCTTTGGTTCCATCCCAGGAACATTTTCCAACAATTGGATCTGACTCTTCCCACTGTGATTCCTACAAAAGCATTTGAACCTAGAATATTCCTTTGGTGCAAAAATGGTAGGATATATCAAGACCTGCTGATGTGCCACCTCTTTGTTTTGGAATTGGAAATTTCTTGCTTAGTATGTGCAGAGGCAGAGTACCAGTGCAAGCTAACGTGTTTTGGTTGTTTCAGGTTATAACTGGGCTCCTCCGAAGGGCAGATGAGGTACGGTTGCTTGTTTGTTTTTTCCTTATTGCATTCTTAATTGCAGAATCCCAGAAATTTTGCAATTTTAACTATTATGCATGAGGGGACTCTTTACACCCTGCTAGGTTCTTGCAATTTCACTTGCCTGTGCCTGGGTCAGTTCTAGGTGAGGTTGGACACCTGTGCCTAACCTGTACCATTTGATATTGCAAGGAGTGATTTAGTGTCCCTGCACACACATTTTCTTCACACAGAAAAATAGCATGTCAGGGAGAATGTCAGGTTAGAAACCTCCTCCCCAACTTCTTGTTTTCTATGTGCAGGTTACTTGTTGGCTGGGATGGATATTTGGTCATGTAAACTTCCACCTGCAGTAAGAACTGGTAGAGTTTACCACCTCCTTGGGAGCTCAGCCTTATTTGGGCACAAAACAGCTTCTTAAGCCCTTTAAGTTCTGTGTACGCACCATAGTAGAATCTGAGTGCAGAACTAATAGAACTATAAATACATATGTATATACCTTCATGTAAATATAAAATGGAGCCTGTTGTGGCCATATTTCTGTTCCCATCTGAAGCAGACTATGGGCGAAATAGATGGAGTGGCAGAGCATGTGTTACATCAAGCATATAAGGTTGTTTGTTAATAGAACTGTATTCCGATGTGTCTTATCAGAACCTGACCAAGAAAAGGCAATTTAATGATTCAGTCGAAGATCTGAGGAGGCTTTTAGCAAGTACAATGGTGCCTGCTGCACAGAACTACGTTGCCTGCTTACGAAGACACAAAATTATATTTCAACAGCAATGTAAAGAATTACATTTCCATCTGGGAAAAATTAAAGCTTTCAGATCTCTACAGTTGAAAGGAAACTGGGCAAAAGGAATAATAGGAGGTGACAGCTTCAGCGCTTAAAGAAAGAAATTATATACTTCTCCCATTCCTTCTCCCCGCCCCAGCCGTGCAGTGGAGCAGTTCCTGGGTAAACAAGCAACGGACCAGTGCTGCAGTGATTTATAGTCTGGGCCTTTTTCAGTTCAGCTTCTGTTCCTTGCATTTCTTGGGGAGGGGCTTTTGCTGGTGTCAGTCTCTGGGCTGTCATATAGCAGAATTACTTGATGCTTTCCCTCTCAGTCTCCCTTCCTCTTCTCAGTGCAGCATAGTCCAGACCGCATGGAAATCCTTGACTCAAGGACTTCTATCTTCACTAAATGTGGCCACCATCAGGATTTTGACTGCCCCCTTCCCAGGAAAGAGATCATCATTCAACTCCTTAATCAGCAAAGGGTAGAGAAGAAGGAAACACAAATTGTGTTAGACAGCTGTAAAAGGAGATTAGACAAATTCAAGGTTACTAGTCATGGTACCTGCGTCAGAGGCAGTATGTCTCTAAATGACAGTTGCTGAGGAAGGCAAGCGGAAAGAAGCTGTGGGATTCGCATTGAGGAATCTAGTTAGCCATTGTGAAAAGAGAAGGCTCCACTGGATGTACCTTTGGTCTGATCCAGCAGGACTCTTCATACATTCAGAACACACACACAACTCATCTGCCAAATGATTCATCAAGCCAAAGCATGTGCAAAATTCCTTAAAAAATAAGTTTCCTTTCCCAGTCTTGGTTGTGACATAACTAAAAAGTGCCTTCAGTGTTCTCTATGTTAGGGCTTCCTTTGCATTACAGAACAGGATAGTACAGCCCATGTTATGCCTTCATTTGATGGTTGGGTCTGCTTGCAATAGACTACCTCAGTGGACTCCCTATCAGCTGTCAGGCTGCAGCATCTGATCTATTTTATCTTTTTCTGGAGCCAGCCTTGCAGCTGGTCTCTGAGTGTGTGCAGCTTAATCAGAAACTTTATTACAGAATCAGCATGTTCTTTACCCTTCATGGTGGTCCTAGTTTGGAATATGCCTTTTGTGCAGGGATGTAAATACATATTGTCTGTTATGTTCCCTGCCCTTTCCCAAAAGGTGTGCCTCCTCTTGGTCCTACCCTTTGGTTTCCATGCAGCTTCTGGACTACTTCTAGGTGTTGAAGGAGGAGCATCACCACTTGATCAAAAACTGTCTCTGCATCTTTTTGTTTGGTAACAGCCAGCAGTTGATGAAGTAGGATTAATGGGTCCTCTGTCATAGTATTTTTCTTGGTTTCCCTTCCTTCTTTTCCTTTGTGTGATAAAATGCTGCATCCCAGTGTAGTTTAGGGTAACCCCAAATAGTTATCAAATGCAAAGATAACCATGCCGACCTCTAGGGAAGAAGTCCAAAATCCAGAATTGGGCAATGCCTTTACTAGACCAATCAAAATTCCACAAAAGGGGCAAACTTTTGAGTTCCTCATCCTCTCTTCATCAAATTAGGTGGGGAAGTAACACAAAACTCCAAAACATAGGCCAAATGTTTTGGCTGCAGTTTAGATAGATCCAGTCCTGAAATGGAGGTTTATAGTACTCTGGTAGGTACTGCAGTTAGCAGATTACACTCAGCAATGCTTTATTTATTTATTATATTTATATCTTGCCCTTTCCCTCCAAAGAACCAAAGCTACTTATATAATCTTTCTCCTCCTCTCAATGTTTATCTTCACAACAACTTTGTGAGATGGTTAGGCTGAGAGTCAGTGGGAGTCTTAGTAAACTTCGTTGCCGCGTGAGGAATGAACTTGGATCTCCAAGCGCTGCACTCTAACCACTGTGCCACACATTTTGGGATACAAAAGCAGTGGATGATCACCACCTATATCCTGAAAATATTCTTCAGATGCAAGTCCCTACAAAACCAGCATGGCACATACCAGTCATTTAATCTTGACATAGGTCACTCCTGCCAAACTGCAGACAGTCCTGCACATGTCACTGGTATGTTTTTATGTTTGTGTGACACCAGCCCGTCTGTGAAAGGACAGAAGATAGAACACGAGAAGAGGAAGGGGGCTGGGTTTACAAACCGTGATAAAAGAGAGGCATTGCAGGCAACAAGTGATGGAAAGCTGCTGAGGAAAGATTTGGATTTGCTGAGTCACGGTGCTGCAAGCTGCGGTCCTCTGCAGAAAGCCCGGGTATTGTGGCAATGTAGTCATTAACACTGAGGTGCTTACACGCATCGAGGAGAACAGCTTCTGCGTGTGTGTGTATTTCAGCAGCATGGCTTTAGCCGTGCACAGTTCAGGAGAATAATACAGTGACTTGCAGCCAACAATTTTATGACAGCCAGTATGTCCAGAGAATACAGAGCTGCATTTGAACTTCCAAATCTGTTCAACCTATGACTCATTCTGTGGCCCAATTAGCAAACAAAATCTGTTCCCCCGGTTTGCAGAGACAAAGATAAATGTGTAAATCTGTCTGTTGAAAAAGACTATTTAATTGATACGTTAAAATGTTCATGCAGCTTGATTTCCAGGGGCCTTCTGAGTATTCCCCTCCTTGAGGGGAAAGGCACTCTGAATTATTGATTTCCATCTCAAGCAAGCTTTGCTTGCAGATGAAATGAGACTGGCATGCAGCCTTGCTTTGGATGCCATCTTCAGCCTTTTCGTCGATGGACACTTGCTGACGGACTCCATACATTGCTTAGAGAGAGTGTGCCAACTTCTATGTGTGTAACAATGTGCCTAATGAGTACAGAAGGCTGCTTTGTTGCCAGTTGGCACTTGGAGGGTTGTCCAGTGAGGCTGATGTTCCAAGTCATTATTCATTACTGCCTCTCTTTCAGGAAGTGCCTGACTGCTTCATGCCAAGACGCAGGGTGGAGGGGAGTGATATTGGGCGCAGCTGCGCTCTGCAGAAAGGAGCTGAATTCAGCTGATGTTGATGTCAGTTTGTTTTGCACTTGTTCCCAGGCAGCTTTCAGTAAGATTCCTATTGGATTCATTCCCCTTGGGAAGACCAGCACCTTGAGTCACACTCTTTATCATGAGAGTGCAAACCAAGTCCAGTAAGTTTGCATTTCTGCATACTATGAGGACCTTCGCAAGCATATCAAAAGGAGTAGGGTGATGGGGAGGTAGAAATCGGCAAAAATAAGGGAGGAAGGGCTGTAAATCTGATGTTTGTAAATATCTGTACCAGTTTAGCTATTTCATTTTGGGGTATGTTATGGACCTTTTTGTGAGAGTGTCTGACTTTATATTTACTATCGCCTTGTATCTTGCTCTTCCTTCTGTCTATGCGGGGCAGCATACACGAGGCCTTCCTAGTTTGTCCTCACTACAGCTCCGTAAGAGAGGTTGGTCTGACAGGAGAACTGCTTTCTAATCTCCCAGGAAGCTTCGTTGCTCATTGGCGATTTGAACCTGAGCCCACCAGTGAACACTTATACTCTAGTCCAGGGGCAGGCAAATCTGGCCCTTTCCAGATGTTTTGGAACACAGTTCGCATAAGCCCTATCTGCCATAGCCAGAGGTCAGGCAGAATGGGAGTTGTAGTCCACAGTACTGAAGGGCACTAGCTTATGCCCTGTGCTGTAACCATACTGGCTCTCAGGAAATGTTTGTCTGGCCAGCAGAGATGTCATGAAAATAGGCATTGCTGGCTTACCTATGGTGGCTCATTGTGTCAAGCTGTGCAGTTTAGGTCTGTTCTTGACAAGAGCATTGGTTGTCCCTTTAAGCCGCCAAGACGGGTGGCCTTGGAGAGAGCACAAAGGATGCCAGCAAAATCTCTGTTGAACAGAATGCTAATTAGATAACAAAATAATTATTAATAATTAGATTCTGTGAGCAAGAGTGAACAGACAGGCCTGTGTGTGGGAGTAATAATTTATCCTCTATAGCAGTGGAGTTGTGAGAAGCAGGGAGAGATATGATGGAAAGATGATGCACCACATTTCAAATTTAGATCCACAAAATAAAGAACAAAATCATGGTTGGAAATGAGCAGGAGATTCTCTGTTTCATTGTGTATTGAAGTCTTGTTACCTGCTTAGCTCTGAGGTCAGGATGGGTTAGTAACTGAAGTAAAAGCTCTTGTGTTTAGATGCCAGTATTTTTGTTCTGTGGATATGACAGTGAGGGTATACAAGTGGGCAGAGTGAGACAGTCACCTCACATGGCAAGAACTCAGTGGTACATATGGGACTGTGCTCCATGCGGTGTGTGTTCCAGGCAACATGCCCTTAGCTAGCCTGCTACCTTCAGGTGAGATGAAAGATGCTGTGCCACCAGCACTGTTAAAGTGTAGTTCAGCCGCCCACCCTGTAGGTTGAGCTTCTTTAGGTAGAATGGAGGAGGCACTGTTGTGTCCAATGACTATGGATTATGGTACTCAGCACATCTGAGTTTTAGCAGGTTGAGGAAGGCTGCTTTATACCATTATCGTCAATGTTTCCTCTAGGTCAATGCTATTAACTCTGATTGGCAGTAGTTTTCTAAGGTCCTTGGGCAGAGGTCTTCTCCAACTCTGCTTTTTAAAATCCTTTTAACTGGAGATAAGTGAATTGTGCTTGAATGTTCTGCATGCAAAGCATGTTCTTTCCTGCTGAATTATGTGCTTCTCTGACTTTTTTTTCAGATGTATCACAGATGCCACATTATCCATCCTTAGAGGAGAGACGATTCCACTTGATGTGTTGCAGATCAAGGTAATAATTTCTTAACTACCCACTCTGCTTTGGATGGGCATTCTTAGGCCTATGTCTGTCTGAATGTCTGGTTTTAGCTTTTGGTCATATGACATGGTGATAACACATCAGGACTATTTATATAAAAGCTTGCAGAACCATTTAATTATTCTTCAAAGAATGGACAGAGGGATTGAGAGCAAGGCAGTGCTTAAACTTCTTCTTTGTAATGGAAATGATGTCACACATTTGATTAGTACAGTGGCAACATAAAATAAAAATTGTGCTCATGCAGAACAGCACTAGGCACTACTGCAGGAGTAACTCACCTAGGCATGCCTTTTCTTATTGTTCTCACATGTTTAGTTTTTTTCTGGAACCACACACATATCTGATTATCTCATTTCTGAAATCATGTTTCAGTATCTCAGAGTTCCTTGTTCAGTTGCTTCCTGCAACAAAAGTAGACACCCTGGGAAGGAGGAGAGGGCTTTCACTCCTGAGGCACCCATGTGAAAAAATCCCTTTTATTTCAACAACTGTACAGTGGTCAATAATGCTGTATGTCATTCTTTAGGCTTCTGGTGTCCACAAAATGAAGTGGTCCAGTTGATGTGTTCAAAACATGGTGCTGGAGAATAACTTTGTAAATATCAACAAAAAGACAAGTGGGTCCTAGATGAAATCATGTCAGATTTTGCTTCCCTGGAAGCAAAACTGACCACAAATGATCAAACTGCAGCTGTGGGCACATCATGAGAAGATAAGACTCACTGGAGAAGACAGTAATGCTGGGGGTGGTTGAAGGCAGACCATTTAGGAGATGGTCCATTTCATAAAGGACTCATTTATGAGAGCTGAGCAGGACTGCAAAGGACAAGACATTTTGGAGGTTATTCATTAAGAAGGTCACCATAAGTTGGGGATGACTTGATGGCACATAACAAAGCTAATTTTTAAAAGCTTTAATGTAGTGTCACCAGCATGTAGTAGTTGATATTTTAGTTCAGCTCGTTGCTGAGTATTTGACCCATTGTTGCTGTGATCTCCTTAGATTAGTGTAATTGGCACATGGCTGCTTTTGTATGGATCTTTACTCCTGTTTTGCTGATTTTTTTTGCAGGGAAACAAAGACCAACCTGTGTTTGCTGTAACTGGTTTGAGATGGGGGTCTTATCGAGATGCAGGAGCAAAAGTCAGCAAGTAAAGAAATACAGTATTGTTTTGTGTTCTCTTTGCCTTTATCTTCTACCACAGAAATATTTTTCTCTGATATCCCATGCGACATCTTATATTAATCTGTATCATGTAAAGAATAGAGGGCATTGCTTTCCAATACCTGGAGGAATTTAGCTGAGAGGAGAGAGAGCAGTGTGTTGTGCAGTATGTTCATAGAAGCATTGACTCCAGGTTTGTCATCAAGCCTGTTTTGACACAAGTGGACTTCTCTCCTCCTGGGGAACCTCAGACCTAGGGCTAAAGCCAGCCATCCTGGGGGCCTAGTCTGGCCCTCTAGTATTCCTCAGAAAGCCACTCCCCTGCCTCTGATTGTTGGGTGGTTTGCTGGCTTTTCTGTGGTTTCCCCTCTTCTGAAAGACAGAAATGCCTCTCCTAAGGCATAGTTACTGCCAAGAGTGTTAAGCTACAACGTGCTGATATTTTTTGTCTTTTAGGCCCCATTTCATTTGCGTTCACCACACCCACCTTTGGAATGCGGCCCCTTAAACTTGAAGTTGCCTCTTGGGCTGGAAGAGGTTCCTCACATTTGTCCTAGGTCTTCCTCGGCCCAAGCTTTCATGGTACAGCTGTACAAACTGGTCCACTATGCTGAAGTGTCAACCTTGAGGCACTAATAGATGGATTGTTTTCCCCGTCCAGAATTAGCCTAGGTTTTAGAGTGCTGCCAGGAGCCTTGCCTAGCTCTCAGAGGGCTATTCTGAGACCCATTTGAAGCAGTTTCTACATAGCACCTGCTACATGTGTCTGCCATAACTTCAGAGTGGTTTGGCACCAGGGCTCGCCCCATCAAATTGAAAGTATCTACTTCCAAAGTGGGCATGAAGATAATGATGTGGAATTAATCCACACAGCGGAAGTGAATTATGCTTTAAGTTACCGTACATGTTACAGATGCTGCATGGAATAGCTGAGATACAGAATTTCTCATAGTGTTGAGTAAAGTATAGACTGGTTCCAAAGGGTTATCCTTCTCCCAGGATTAAGCTTTGCAGTTCACTTTAGTTTTCAAATGGTTAAGTGCCTATTTGGTGCATCTTGAAAAATGAGGTGGGTCTTCCCTGGTAAGTTATCTTCAGATATGTCCAGTACTTCTCTTGACAACTTTTCTCAAGAACAAGGAGGTTTTTGCTGTCAGGGAAAGGGGGCAAGATTATTCTGCATTATGTTCAGAGTCATTAGTTAGGTGGAGAGTTTGATGCCTGGGATTTGTTGCAGGGGCTGTGTGTGGGGAGAGTGGCAGGCTCTTCTGTTTCATGGAGGAGGTCGTTTTGGAGGCCCCTCATCCACTCAGTGGTATGGGTGCACCTTTTGGGAGGCACCCCTTTGCTTCTGTACTGGTCACTTGGTACCCGTGGTTCTGCTACTTGGGAACCACAGGAATCAGTGGAAGGGCTGGTTGTGTAAAGGTGATATGGAAAGGCCAAATGGGACTATTAGGGATAGTCCAGGGACTATTAGGATCTAACGTGTTAGGCAGGTTCTGAATCATAGTAAAATTCATGGGCCAGGTTTCACTGAGCCAGAGGTGACACCAGCATCAGTACAGATCCAGGGATCAGTTGTACTTTACAGCGAGGTGACTGGCATCTAAAGTCCAAGAATTAAATTGTAAGAAACAGCTCTAGTGAAAACTGCATCGGGAAAGATAATTGCCTTCTCCATGGCCACAACTTTATTTTGCTTGTTTTGTTTTATCCTCTTCCAGGTATTGGTATCTTGGGCCTCTGAAAATCAAAGGAGCCCACTTCTTTAATGCATTAAAGGTAAAGAAGCATCCCTATCAGTCACTCACTGTAGTTAATAAGAACATCACTGCACAGCACAGCTCAGTGGTACACTCATTTTGCATGCTCCTGAACCTAAGTTCAGTCCCTAGCCAATATCTCCAACAAGAAGGCTCTTCTATTGGAGAACCTTTGCCAGTGAACAGAGGCAACTGATTTTGAGAGAGCCGTAACTTGCCTCATTATAATCCAGCTTCATATGTTCAAATTGTGTGTGACATATGGTACAACTTGTTTTGCTATGGAGCATATTTAAGATAGTATAATACTCTAGATTATTCTTGTGGCATATCTGAAGCTGGCCCTCTACAGAGGACTGATGTGTGGCCAGTTTTGTGTGGAGCATTTTTTGCTGAATGAGCAGCAGAATCATGGAGTTTTCATAAAGCAGAATCCTGGAATGAAGCTGGAATCATATTGGAGTGCTAGAAATGGGTGGCTGAGAAAATTAATGACATTCTGGAAGAATGCTGGGGTGCAGCTGAAATCCATTAGAGGCTACTCTGCTGCCTTCCTCTAGTTCAGCCCCCTCTCATGGTTTTTGTTATGCTAATGATTCACCCTGAGATTTATTCAGTTGACGTAAGTGGTGCCTATAAATAGAGCCTACAGGACTGTTGATAATCTGCCTCTTGCAGTCAGCCTACCTTCTGTCACAAAATGAGCAGAAAGGTTAATTGCTCTAGTTTTAAGTTCTCAAGTATTGAAGGATTTGACGTTCATTAAAGGGGCCCTGTTTTTTTGTTTCCCTCCTGTTCACACCCTCTCCTGATTCCTTAGTAGTTAATAGGAATATAGGTGTCTGCTGAAATCCTGCAGCATCACATAACAGATAAATTGTGACTGTGGATTTAAATTCTAAGCTCACTAGTCCAGAGTATCCTGCTTGGGGTAATGGGCTGTATGATAAGGCAATAGTTCCTTTCCATCCCAGTCCCCAACAGAGATGCAGGGTTAATGTTGCCAAAATATTTAAGTTTTTATTTTATGAAGCAGAAGGGTAAACAGCACATATGTTGCCATCTGGCACTGTGGGTGTTCAGAAATGGACAAGATGGCTCCTAAGCACTTTCAGCATTGTTCTGCTGAAGTGTTCTTTCAGCGTTGTTCAGTGACATTGAATTTAACATGCTTGGCTACGGAATGGATAGCTGTCCCACTTCTTATTGCTTGACTTTGGTCCCCAAAGATCTCCTTTCCTTCTTGTGATGCTATTGCAGGGTGATGGGTAGTCGATGACACTGCCTTTTCCATAACTTTTGCTATTTCACATCCTACAGTCTGAGACAAGAAAAGCTCATGCTGTATTTGGAGACTGCATTTCTATGCTCTTCCTTGAGATCATGATGCTTCTAAGGGACAAATGATACATTCAGCCAGCAAAGATCAGGGAAAATTGGTTTCAAAGTGTTCAGGAAGGCACCATCTGCAGGACAGAAACAGGAAGTGTTGTGCTTAACCGTTCCTTTCCCTACTCGCCACTTTTCCACAGCCCCCTTCTTCCCTACAGATGGAAAAGACAGACATTCGTCTCATCATAGGGGAAAGGAACTAATGTAATAGCTGTAAAGTGAGAGCAGCTGATGGCACTCAGCTGTTCCCCTGCTCATAGTGTCTCTTCCACAGGTCACCCTTGCTAGCCATTCAGTGGCAACCAAGGGTCCCAAATCTGTGTCTGCAGATCTGGTCCAGCCCTGAGATACCATGTATATTCTCTCTCTCTCTCTGGTCAAACTCCAAGGAGTGGCCTCAGAAACATCTTGCCTCTCTGACCTATTTGGGCCCAACTCCAAGGCCTCCTGAGGAGCCGGAACAGAAGACTTCTAGACCTCCTTTATACATCAGACTTTACAAGAGACTGGCAAATTATTGGGCTCCTGTCCCAAAAGGTAAGAAGATTTGCAAGAAAATCTACATTAAAAAAGAAAAGAAAGGGGCCTTCATGCTGGCTCCCCACTGTGTCCGTGTGGCATGACCTTGCAGCACGACTAACTGTTCCAGTGAAGTATATATGAGTTACTCTTCTTTTGTTATGTGAACTTCCTTTTTCCATCTTGGCTGCTTTATTTCCTTTTCAGCTATTAGAATGAAGCCCTGTGAAGTAACAAGGAAGCAAAGCATTTTGGCCTCTACTGGTCTCAACACAATTGTGTTGTTTCACTTTCTTCTTAATGGTATCTTTCTTCTTGGACCTCAGAAATCCCCACGGAAGCGACCTCAGAGTCCTGGCAAGAAGTACAGCTGTCTGCCATTGAATTTTCTGTCACTACGCAGAACAGAAATCTTGACTTGAAAGTAAGACATTAAAAATCCCTAATTTGTCTTCCTATTTGAAATTGTTGTTGCTTTCTAGCTGAAGGCATAACAACCTTTTTTTAAATACCTTAGGCCTGATATAGCAGATAAGACTTGAAAACAATGCCAAACTATGTTTGAGATGAGTGTGTTCTGTTGTAGTCTTTTAAAATTCACGTAGAGGTCTGCTTGCCATACCTGTACCTTTTGAAGTAGAGTGTTGCAAAAAATGAGTATCTGTTGCCAAGGCTTTGTCTGTGAACTGCAATTCCATAGGATCACAGAATGTGTATTTGAAAAGCTTTCTGCTTTCATTCACAAAAAAAAAGTGTGAAGGGGAAATTCCTAGCCCTTATGTTATAAAAACATGCTTGAAAGTACACGTATGTTGACTATACCCCCTGTACCAAAGGGGAGACTGTCAGCTTTCTAGCAGTGAAGAAGCTAGACTTCAGCACAGCACATGCGCTCCTTTCCCTTTTCCATAACTAGTGAAAGTAGAATTAATATGCAAAGTTAGAGTAAATGACAGACTTAGTTAAGCACATAGAACCATGCTAGAGGGTGTACTTTATGTAATTTACATAGGCTATAGAAGCCAGTTTTCTTTTGTGCAAAATTTTCACTTTTGTTGTCCATCTAGCACAGAATTTACACAGTCTTTTCTATAATTAATTCAAAAAACAGTTCCAGGATTAGTGGCCCTAGGGCTGGTTATTTGCTTCTTACTTAGACTTCCTCTGGATATATTCATCTGAGATGCCATATATGTAAAGTAGTAACTACTTGGGTTGCTGCACCGAGTAGCCATCCCTCTACAACCTGATGGACAATTACCAGTACATCCAATTTTAAATCAAATTCTCCCGGGGCAGTGTATGCTCAGTGAATCAAAGGAACGATGATTCAGTCTGCTAAGACAAGCAGTTAGACCTGATGCTGTTTGTATTTGAGATTCCCTCTTTGGTATGTCATCCTGGACTCTGACTCCAGGTCCTCCACAATAGCTTAATTTGCATCCCCTGTTTAGATGCTTCCTGCTTATAAAGTATGTGCAGTAAGGTCTGACTCCTCACTTTCCCCTTTGGGAATCTTTACCTTAGAGGATGATTGAAAGATGCAATAGGACATTCCTTCTCAAGGAATGTTGGTGGGTTGTTGGCGGGTTGTAGGTTGTTCACCATGTTTTATCTCAGCTAGATTCAAACAACTCAATAACCCATGTTTCATCAACAACCCATGGTTCAATAACAAATGATACTCAACCCATTGAGTGGGTTATTGTGTTTTCTGAACCCAGTCACACTCATTTTATATTATATTCTTAAATTTTTAAATTTGGAAAGAGGGTGAAGGTGCACACAAATTGAAGGTAAGGGTGTGTGTGTGGTGGGGGAGCACTCTATCTAGTGTTTAACATACACCCTAATAGCTCTGTCTTCTGCCTCCCAAGAAATACTTTTCCCAGGGAATGGGAAAAGCTTGTCATTTCATTCAGGGGCAGAAGGTGCCCCTGCATTCATTTATTCATTCATTCATTTATAGCTTTTATATACTGTCCTTCACGAAAAAGTCCCAGGATGATAGTACAGTGAAATAGAAGTATAGCATTTGCTTTTCAAAGGAGTATTTATGAGATTTTTTTAGATGTTAATAGTAATGTGTCTTTTTCTAAATATTTCTATTAGAGAACAGAAGACTTCATGAATATTTGCATTGAACCAGATACAATTAGTAAGGGTGACTACATAAAAAGAGGGTGAGTACTAAAGGAGCTGTAATTATATGCTTTATCATGCCATAAAATCTATCTCTCTATCTCTCATCAGTCGTTTTTTATACTAAGGAGTCTCAAGGACAAAACTAGACACTGGGGAGTTTCCATAACATGTGGAGTCGCTTGGGAATTTTGACCATGCACTGCATGCCTCCTCCAAACTCTTTCCACCTTCCACCCCCCACAGTCTTCCAGTACCCCAGTGGACACTGCAGGAGCACCAACATGTCCCCTGAGCCACAGGAAGCCATTCTGTGCTGGCTGCTTTTTTTTTTAGATTGCGAAAGCTGCAGTTAAAGGCACCTTTCCCAATCCGGTTTTGGGGCATCTGAGAGGTAGTCCCACCAAGGATGCCCAGTGGTACCATGATCACTGAATATATTTTAAACAATTTCAGTTTCTTGCCCACGTAGACAAGCGCCCATGTCACATTGCAGCTCTGAGCTCACTCCTGGTGGGATTTTTTTCCAGTTTTTTTAAGCACTCTTGCTGGTGAATCCTTGGGTTCTAAAGGGGGTGTTTATGTAGGCTTGGACAGCCCTCACATTCTGAAATGTGGATAACAGGAAACCACAAGGTCCCCTTAAAGAATCCTCAAGAACCTGTAAAAAAAAGATATTTGGGGGTACGCACCCTCTATTTCCCCTCCCAAATGGTTTCATCATTTTTGAGGGTGCTAGGAAGCCCCAACAGACCCCTCAATTTTGCAGTTCACCTCAAGTGGACAGCACCTCTGGAGCTGCAAAATCTAACACCCCCCCCCCTTGGGCAGGGGTGGGGCTTGTAATTTAAAGGGGCAAACCTGCTTCCTCACATGGGGATTTTCCCAAGTTTGAAGTGTCCCCTGAGGCTATCAGTGGCTAGTAGCCTTGTTGGCTATGTGCTGCTTCCCATGTGCTACTTCCTTTAGGAGAGACAGCATACCTGCATATACCAGTTGCTGAGGAGTTTGGGCAGGCAGAGGTCTTGTACCCATCCTGCCTGAGGAATCCTGTGAGCAGCTGGCCTGGCACCATACGTACCAAGTGCTGGTTTTGATGGACCTTTGGTCTGATCCAGCATGGCTTATCGTCTTATGCTAGCAGCAGGGGGACACTGTCAACACTTGGGGAACACCTGAGGCAGCAGACCTGTCCCCACCCCAAAACCAAGGATTGTGTTACAAAAGGGGGAAACAGCCTCTTGTCCCAAAGTGAGCTTCCCTGAGCATACCTGGACAGATTGGCTCTGTGCAAAGGGGAGGGGGGTTTGTTTGTTTTTTTAATGATAACCCCCTCTGAAGGTACTGTTTGGCATTCCCTGGGAATCTTTGGGGAGTGACCCCCTTGATTATTGTTAAACCGTACAACAAGCTATGGCTAGTTTGAAGTGGCTTATAAGCCACCTGTGAGAGAGTGCAGGGTTCAGATGACATGCTAAATCACCAAGGCTTATAAACCACCATGGGTTGAGCCATATTTTGCCATGTTGTGCCATTTTTTCTTGCTGGGTTTAGTTAACAGAAACAGAAAAAGAGAGGCTCTTTGTGATTAATCCCGGTCATTAATTTATGGTTTCTATGACCACTGCAAGGCTGCAAATCTTCCAGTTTCCTTGGATCTCTGCATATCTTTCTGCTGCTGATCTGCATTGACATTATGTATTAATATGCCTATGTCTACTTGAAAGAAATATATTCAAAGTTCTCATGCGGATGAGATGCTATCCGTTCTTCTACATGGGCAGCTGCAGAAAGATTTCTAAGAGAAAGTATTTTGGTCTCCCACCTTAAAAGAACATAGCAGAAGGGGTGGGTTTGCCATCCTTTAGGCAAAAATGGAATAGGATATATGTGTTATGGAAAGAGGGTGATATTTGTAAGTGTTGACATATATCTGGAGCACTGGGAAGAGTAGGTGTAAATACCAGCTAAAAAAGTGATGAAATTAAGATGCTTGTGGTAGCATAGATTCCATAAACCAAAGACTGCTTGTGCCTGCTGTGTGTGCTTGAGAGAAGAATGGGGGAAGCTGCACACTCTCTTTTGCTCTGGCAGGCCTATTGATTTATATAGTCATTTATTTGATAATGCTGGTATAGTATAATCTGAAGTATTACCATTAGCCATCTTGCACTTTAGGAAGTTGGAATAAGAGCATTTGAATTACAATATTGGTTTATGCTTCATGTGTCTGCTTGCACCCAAAAACAGCTTTTCTTAAAGAAAAATTGCAAACAGCCTTGAGAAACATTATGGATGAAAGGAAGCCTATACAATATCTAGAAAGTAATTACATGAACACTACTGACAAAAATGGCAGTGTATATAAATGAGAGGGAAGCAGAGAACAGTGTTAATGTCAGATTTTGAGGACACTGTCCAAATTATGAAAGCGAATCTGACATAACTAAGACATTGGTCCCTTGATGCAGGCAGGTCCAGATGTTCTGCATGTAGCAGTGGAATGCATTTAATGAGTTCTTTCAAGAATTCATGGACCATAAAGAACAAAAATATTTGTGCTGGTCTGTGGGAGAAAAAAACACAGAATCTCAGGATCAACCAAAATGCCACAAAAGAATTCGAAAGCTTGTACAAGTTTTGGGGGCATTCTGGATCATCTTAATGTAGGTATTTCTCAAATATGTATTTTCGGTGCCAAATATAATTACAGGGTTGAGAATAGGGAGTGGAGGAAACACTTGTTGCAATGGAGACCTGCTATTTCCAGCTCAGGCCTGAACTATTATAGATGGAAAATGGGGCAGGGAAAGCAAGAAGAATGATGCTGTGCAAATCCATAGTGAGACTGTTGAATTAAGGAATGGGCAGGAATTAACTAGTGAGGCCTCTGGAGGCACTGCAGGTGTAAACGAGTTGCTAAAGGAAACCATGAAAATAGCCCTTCTTACGGTTTGTAGGAAGCCTACATTTTAGTTCACTTGACTTTTCCTTTCCCAAATGCCTACGGGCTGATGTTTCGCTAAGATTTTGGAACTGGGAAAGTCTCCAGTTGATGATACAATGAGAGAACATTGTTAAGTCAGATAGAAGCTAGATGAGAGAAGGAGAGAGCGCCTCTGCTAACATTTAGTCAAAAGCTTTACAGGTGATTTCTTCTGGGCCAGCGTTCAAAGAAGAGGAATGTGCCCGTGCAAGCTGATTTGGGCTTGCAAAGCCCCAGTTCCATGCTCAGTGCTCTTCTGTGTGTGTGAGTTCCTGTGAAAGAGGCCCTGGATTTCAGGGGAGGGGAACAGGAAAGAAATGAGGGACAACTTTTTGCCATACCATCTTTGATAGAAGGGGTGCACAATGTGCAGCAAGCCCTGTAGGCTGAACCCCCAGAGTCATGGGGAAAAGGTCCAGGTGAATAAAGGAAATGCGCTGTGGTTTCTACCATACAAGCCCTATTCCAAGTGCATCCCCAGAGTGCTCTTGGAATTAGTGCATGAAGCTTCATGATGCTTCCTAGAGTGCGCTAGGAATGGAGCTTGTGGTGGGAACCATAAAGCCTTCTATAGTATTTTTTTCTGGGGGAAAAATCCAGGGGGATGTCACTTCAGCATGAGGCTTGATCAGAGAAGGGCAAAGGGGCAGCAACCAGCATCTTTGGATGGCGGGGTGGTTGGAGAACAGAGGTTTCTGGGAAGAGTAAGTTTTACCTTATCAAAGCTGGTGCTGGGCTTCTGAAACTGTCCTAGGCAGCAACTGGAGGTGTGAGCATCTTTCCATGCACTCCAGTAGACTCAATACCACTCCAGCGTGTGGCACGCGGCAGTGCAAAGCTGCGCACGCTAACCTATGCCTATGGTCCTCGCGCTTAGTCAGTTTAATCTAATGATATGGTATTAAATATATACAGATTTTTTTAAAAAATGAATTGTATATAAACTTATTTGCCTTGGGTTACATTTTGTTCTTCTCCTAACAGCTCTGCCTCTTTTTTCACCTTGTTGTCTTTTCACAGCTTTATAATATGACTTGCAGAGGTGTCTGCAGTCTCTGAAATTCTTAGCGAGAGAGAGAGAGAGAGAGAGAGAGAGAGAGAGAGAGAGAGAGAGAGAGAGAGAGAGAGAGAGAGAGATTCTTTTATTCATGTTCTCTACTCTTCTGGTACAAGGCCTAGCTTAAGTCTTAGCTTCAGCTGCTTCATGAGCTCATGGAACTGAAGAACCTGTCTGTGGCAGTGAGCAGTTTTGTTGGAGTTGAACCCTAACCCAGCTAAGAGCTTGTAGCTTTGACAAGTAACATACTGACTTCTCCTCTTTCTGTGTGTAAACTAAGAGGATAGCAGTTTTCCTTGCAGGTTGGCTGAGGAGATGAACTTTGGTTCCTGGTCTGAGAGGCAGCATAGTGTAGCATATCATGGCGTGCTGATTAAAGTTCTGAATTGGAACTGGGGGGATCTGGTCCCCACTTGGTGGTGAAGCTCAGTGAGTGACTGAGAGCAGTCACTGACTTGGCAAGAGGGAGAGCGTGCAAGAGGAAAAATGGCAAACTATAAATGCAGTAATAAAAAGAAATGAATAGACTTTGACATAAACCTCATTGATCTGAGTGGAACTGGCTTGCAAGCAAGTGTGCTTAGCATGAATTATTAAGGCTGATACCCTAAAATTTAAAGGGACTAGGCAGCTCAAGGTATTTGTAATCTGTTTTCATTTAGGTTAACCAACAAATCTTCTAGTTCCATAAGCTAAATCCTTGAATCGGCCACAGTTCCTCTCTGCTGCATTCAATCTGTAGTTTTTGCTTCTCATTGATGCATTCAGCTCTTTAGCAGAGATCAACCATCTGTACTCTTGCCGCTGTTTGGAAGATTACCCAAGTAGCGTATTTCCAGTATTCCTTCAGTGTTGTGCCTGCCCAAATGATTACAATTTCTGGACTACAGATAGTATATTCTTGGCAGGTGGCTCTGTAATGCTGCTTGCACTTCATTCTTTCAATTCCAGATACTGCTTTTCTTTCACTGACCCATTTTCTCAGCTGATGCTGACTCCATCCACCACAAGTTTGTCTGCCTTTTGAAATGTTCTCATTTTATTTCTCATCCCTACATATACTGTCCATATGATTATGCTTGAGGAAACAATAAAGGAAGATTGTGTCAGTGATCAGATTAAGCCCACTGTTTGAGGGTTTATAAACCAATGCTTCCCTTCTCCATATGTTTGGGCAATGCCCAATGCCAGCTCCCTTCTGGGAGGTGATAATCGCTTAGATAAATCTTATGATGGAAAGTTCTTTAACATTTCAGGGCACACATGTTCTTTTGAATTATCTCCCCGTCTCTTAGAACATAACACAAGATCAGTGAAAATGGATTCTTTGTGCCCTTTTGATGCCTAAAAGACTAATATTACAACACTGGAGGATGAACAACACTGTGGGTGGAAGATTTAATGAAAACATTCATCTTTTGAATAGGTGGCCTTTAGGTGTACTCTAGAAGTGGATAAATATATGGATATTTGGGGCGACTTTGTTGAAGCATATGTATAATTCAATAACAATGGTATGTTCTATTATATAGTAATATATAGCAGTGTAGGATAGGTAGGTAGGTAGGTAGGAGTATTGATTTTTTGGGATTTAACTTAAAACTTGTACAGCTTTACATCTGTCCACCCACCTCTGCAATGGTGCAGTTTAGTTGTTTTGTATTGCACAATAATGAAGAAAAAAGAACCCGTGGCCTATGAAGTTGGGGCTGACAGCTCCTCCCGCGCCCATCCCTTTTCATGCACTTGATCCAGTGCTATGAGCCAGCTTTGGGGCAAAGATGCTGGCTTCCATTTAGCCAGAGTTCCCCAGTGTGGCTGTACTAGGGAGCTCTGCCTGAATAGGGACTAGGACTAAAATGCTGAAAAGCCAGTGATGGGAGTGGGAGAACCAAGGGATGTTCACCGGGGGGTGGCTTCACAAACTCTGGTTCCTGAAGCCTGGAATGACCATTTAAACTAGGCTGTTGTGTATCTTTGCTGAGGATTCCCAGGTTGGCAGTCTAATACACACATTTGATTTCTAGCGTTGAGCATTTGGGGCAAAAGGACACTTTCAGATGCATTCAAGTGTTAGTACAAACCGTTTAACTACACTGATGCTGCCCTTCATATTAGAAAAATGAACTTCTGAAGCAGCTTTTGAGCTTTCTAACTGTAGCTAGTGCTCTATGATTAAAAAAAACCCTGCTAATGCAAGTTGGTGAGTTACCCATGCAGAAAACAATGATTTATATCCCTTTTGAATTTGTCACAGGGTTGCTTTTCCACATCATCCATCTCCTACGTCTCTCAATGAAAGATACTGTATTGCATTTCATACGTACATGAAACAGTTATATAATGCCTGCTACTATATTAGATTTCAGGGCAGTGCAGAAGCATAAAATAGCATCAACATCAGATAACATCACTCAAGTTATCTCAGCACTAGGTTTTTTTTATGATGGTACTTGGCTTGACTTGATTCTCATTTGACTTCTGCTTCTGCCATTGCTTAGCTACCTGTGAGCTTGAGCATATGACCTTCTCCTTCAGCATCAGTCTTCCCACAGCAGTCGGCTCACCACTCACCTCAGCTGGTGACAGAATTCTACAACTGAGCTAACACTAGTTGTGCAAATAGGCTTGCACAAGCTTCAGACACGATCCTGTGACTGTTTCTTTCTCATGCAGCCTGTTGACCTCACAGTGCCTTCCTGTCTGAACCTTCTGCTGTTTGTCTTGTTATAAGTTTTCCTTTCTACAGGAGGCAGAGAAACACCTCCACACCCCCAAAACCTTTGCTGGTGGCTGCCATGTTTAAGCACGTATTTTGAGCACACATTTTTCCTCTGTCTCTCCCTCTGTTTTGAGCAGCAGTCAGAAGATTCAGGACCCTCACTTATGTCCTGAGGGAGGCCAGTGTCTGCAGGCGAGTCGGTGCATCTTGCAGCTTCCAGAGGTATGGTGTAAAATGTTGAGGAGTATGTAATTGTTTGCCGTTCCTTTTCTCAGATGGCTTGAGGAGGAGCAGGTGGTGCAACATGCAGGCCATCTAGGTTTCTTTTCAGGCATTCTAGCTCACAACTTGAAGCACCACACTATTGAAGCCACAGCAGAGTACACTAAGCACTGTGGCCAGTGACTGTTGCAACAAAATTAATATCCCTTCAGTGTGGAACTCATGTCACAGGAGAACATTGCACCGCCCAGGATAAGGTGCGAACACCAGCTCTTCTTGGTATTTTCTGGTATCCCGTAACCATAAAAAATGGCAGCTTAGATGCAGATTTAGGCTGTACATCTGTTTAGTTTTTCTGATGTAACCAGTTTCTATAAACCCAGTTTTCTTTGCAGAATACCGAAGGCTCTTTGGCTATAGACAATGAAGAGTATGAAGCAATGTCAGTGGAGGTGAAGCTGTTACCCAGGAAGCTGCAGTTCTTCTGTGATGCTGTTAAGAAAGAGCACATGCTTCAAGGTGCATCCTAATCAAGGCAGGTGATGTGGCACCTATTACTAGTCTGGTATTTACATTCAGTGAACTGCCTGCAGATACAGATCCCTGTAAAAATGTTCAAGAAAAAGGTGTTATTTTAACAGCACCACTGACAGATCCTTTGAATGAGCTGTGCATGAAGACTGTATATGCTTCCTCAACTTCCATGAAAACCTTTGTTTTGAGGAATGATCTCAATACATGAGTAACTGGCTTTGTACATTCTGTGTTCTCTTGCTAGGAAGAAGAGAGGGTAGCTATGATTTAGCCATTCATTTGCCTTCTCTTCTGGTTATTTCTTGGGGGAAGAATAACTTCCCAGTACAACCATTAAGCTCAAGCCCTTTTTGGAAATGTTGGCATTGGTGTGAGTCCAGATTTAGTCATCCTCGAGTTAACCTGTTGAAGTCAGTGGATCTTATGCTGGTTATGATGAATTTAATTCCCATTGATTGCAGTGAGTCTATTTTATGACAGTTTCTGGATCCAATCACCTGTGTATCCCTATCAAGACAATGCAAGTGTCACACTTCCTGGATTGTTTAAATACTTTAAAATGCAAAGGTACTGTCAGACTCCCTGGATTTCTGCAGTTAAGCACAGACTGTTTCGACTACTGGCTCTCAATTGGAAATGAAGATGGAAAGAGAGAACAAAGTCAGGCTTTTATGCATGTAAAGGACATGTATTTCTGAGCCGTGGCCTTTCCCAGAAAGTACAAGCTTTTGTGGGCATTGTGGATGGAGAAATCTGAACTCCCAGTCCCTTGGGAAAGGAGACTAATGTGATGAAATCCGCGTAACATGTCACCTAATCACTAAGGTGCCAATCGTTCGTGCTCTTCCATTACTAATGTAAACAGTCTTGAAGTCTTTCTCTGTGTCAGAGAAGCATTAGGTTTTGGAATTACACGTCCTGTAAAGATTTTCCAGAATAATCAACAGTCACAAAGAGCAGCTGTGTTAAAAGTGAATTTTAATAGAGTAAAAAAGGCTATTATAGTATGTACACAAGTCCTTCTTGGGCTTCACATAAGCGGTGGCAATTCACAAAGTTAGTGCTTTCCCTCTTACTGAAAGAGTAAGAAAGCCATTGGTGCTAGAACTTAGTGAGAAGAGGCTAGCTGCCAATCAAATCCTTGGTGCTCTTCAGCTGTTCGAATCTGGAGAGCGCCACCCATGCTGTCTTTACAGTCACCTCAAAATAGCATCTTTGAACTCTTGCAAAAACTCCACATCTACTATCGAGGAATGTCACAACCCTTACGCAACAAGCTATGTACTTCCTTTGCACTGAGAAGGAGAGAAAAAGTGCTCTCAGTAACATTCAGAATTGCAAGAAATTGGGCAGGATTGGCTGTGTTTGACCTACACCTTATGAGGAATGTGTGCATGAACTGGTATGCGTGGCTCCAAACTGGATTAGAGTGGGGTGCTGGGGAAAGGAGGGTCACATCCCTGCCCTCACCCTCCTCCAGTCAGGCTCTCTCCTCACCCTCCCAAGCTGTGAGCGCCACTTGGTAGATGCAACAGGCCATTGTCTCTTTTCCCCAGTGGCACTAATCACAACTTCAGCAGGTAGGGAGAGATTTTGAGCATGGAAGCAGCGCTTCCTGTGGCACTGCCACCCAGCTCCAAGTTCAGGGAGAAGAGCAAATCCCTTTGCTTGGAAGTCTTGGGAAATCCAGGCACAGCCCTCCTACACAATGTGACGCTTTGGCCTTCGGTCATTGCCCGTGGTGGTGAAGTGATGCTTTGCTCTAGCACAGGCTGCTCCCTTGAAGCGGTGCATGTGCGTGGTGTTGCTCCACAGAAAGCCCGTGCAGCTCAGTCTGCCTCAGAGCTCGCAGCTGCTTTTCATAGATGGGAACAGCGTGAGCTATTGCTTGCAGAAAGCATTTTAGCGGAGTTCACAGATGTTTCACTTACATGGGGTGAAATGAGCCTTCACTTTCCCTATTGCTGCCATTCACAGAACAGACTTTTTCAAAGGTTTGTTCACATGGCCAGCTACCGTTTCGTGAAGCTATCCATGCACGAGTGTGAACTCAGCAGTGGTATGAACTGTGCCAGGTATAAGAATGCACTACACACTGTGGCGCGTTGATGCTACAGCCACTTCTGACAGATACTAGGAAAAGGGATGGAGGAGTTCAGTGCTAAAGCGATGTCCCCACTCCCCATGCAGGGCTGTTTTGTAAAAGCTGCTGAGGGTGGTGAACAAGTATTTCATTCTTGCTTCTAGGAGAAATATCTAGAACACTCATAACACATGGAGCATGTTGAGCACTTCAGTAATTTCTCCCTCATTAGCATTTCTATAACAGACTGGCACATTTCTTCCTGTACAGCAGGGGGAGCATCACAGACTTAATAATCATACAGTTGAATAGGAAATTCGTGTGTGTGTGTGTGTGTGTGTGTGTGTGTGTGTGAGAGAGAGAGAGAGAGAGAGAGAGAGAGAGAGAGAGAGAGAGAGAGAGACACTCTGACCGACCGACCGACCGACCGACCTTATGTGGCTAAAGCGGCACCATCCACAATGGAGCTTCAGCAGACTTGTAGGAAGGGAAACCCTTCCCTGGGTGTGGTGTGGCAGAATACTCCAGTGTGTACTGAGCATGCTCAGCAAGCAAGCAACACTGAATGCTGCAGGGGGGCGGGGGGAAATGAATGGGAGACGGCATGGCTACCTGGCTGGAGCCAGCTCACACTGCAACATGTTTTGCAGGCCTTCCATTGCACCTTCCATTTCTGCTGCTGTCCAACGGCAGTGGTTGCACACCCGTTACTACCCCTGCAGGGAGAGCAGGTGCTTGTACAATGTACTGGGGCTCTCAAAGATGAGCAGTGCACATACATTTTAACATTTTTTTCTAGAAAGTTCCAAGGAAGTTGAAGAAACTTCCAGGGGTTAAGGATACACAAGGCAAAAAGGAAGCAATTTTGATCCTGCACAAGGGAGTGTTCCAACTCTGTCAAAGCATAGTTTCTTCTCAAGGTAACAGACAAACTTTGAATCACATTGACCTTTATCAAGCAGCCTGATCCTATAAAGTACCTTCAGTTGTCACAACACAAGGGCTTAAAGCTGCATCTTAATCTTGGTGAGAAAAAAGTTGTTGTCCTTCTGTCAGAAGCTGCAGAAGTCTCAAGGGGGAAAAGTACCAACATTTGTCCATGACATTTTGAAACTATATTAGAGCCCCACACATTAGAAATTTTAGATTAAAAAATGCCCATCTTCTGTCTGGCCTACTTTGGTCTTGCCTAGCTCTTCATTTAGATTTAGAAATTGTATTTTTATGACCTATACAGGAATAGGTTCTGCCACTGTCACTTCTCTGGTGCTATTGGCTCTGGGTTTAAAAGCAACTGACTAGTTCTTAATTTTCTTCAAAGGTGAGCCTTCAGAAAAAGTGCAGGTATGTGACCCCTTGCAGACCTCTTACAAAATGGTAACCTCATCACATGTGCACCTTCCGTTTTTGCCTCCTGTCAGCTGCTCTCACACATGGAAAGTGCCATGGGATAAGCTTCAGACTTCCAAGATAACACGATTATTGCAATGACAGCATTCAATGCACAGGAATAGAGGTCCCACTGAAAGCTGAGCTGAGAGATGCATTTTACAGAAAGTGAATTTGGCTTGGGATTTTCCTTTTACAACACAGATGGGGAATGCCAGCTCATGTTTAAAAGTGATTTCTGTGCCTGGAGGCTATGAGCAGTTCAGCAGTCAAGAGGAAGGGGACCTGGTAGACAGAGTTTACTGGGAATTGCAGGCCGTTTTTTGTCTAAAGAAGCAACATATGATTGTGCCTTAAATTAGGCAGAAGAAACATACCTTTTGTCTTGTAAGTATACAGCTTATGTTATAATGTCCTGTCAAGTAATCTCTGCCTTATGATGACCCTGCGAATGAAAGCCTTCCAAAATGTCCTATCCGTGGCAGCCCTGCTCAGTTGTTCTTGGAGCAAATACAGCTTACAGCATTTAATAATCTGGCATTAGAGTTTCACTGTGCTACAAAAGGTCTCCTGCTGTAGCCTCGGGGATCATGCTGCTACAGATGCTGGCTTTGACAGGCCTGCAGTAACAAATTAATTGTGGAAGTCAGGTATTTCCAAGCAAGACCCCATACCAATATGGTGATCTAGCATTACACATTTTTCCCTCTGATTTTTAAGCATACCTCCATCTCCTGCACTAAGGCTTTCCTGCTGTGATCTTAATTCTGTTGCCTAGCAAAGAAACGTCAGCTGAAATAATTCCTCCTTTACCCCCCACCCCACTTTTCTATAAGTGGGTAAAGATTATGAAGTGTTTATGTCATTAAAGAGCTGCTTAGGCTTTGGGGCCAGGAAAATAAATAGAACATGTCATGATGGGGAAAATTCTCTGCTGTACCCAGTTTCTCAGGACTACAAAGGGGCTTTGTAAGTAGGATGTAATACTTCACTGATGGCTTTGAAGGGTTATACCCTAACCTGCTCCTACATTTAATAGCTTGGGGGTTTTGTTTGCTCTTGTTCCTGCTGCCACACCCAAACTATGCAGGGACGCTTTTTCTAGCATGATCAAAAATAAATGGAAAATGTATCACCTGACAAAAGCGCAGCAAGCTCATGTAAAAGGAACACGATAAGTTTTAAATTGCCCAAAACTTCAGTTGCTCTTCCCAGTTTCTTCTTTTTGCAAGAGCTCTGCCTCTTAACTCCTCCCCACGCCCTGCCGTTTATTCTGTTCCAGAGTTTTACAGCTATTGCACAGGCTTATGGACAACCTCTTGATGCAAGAGATGAAGCCTGGATAGGCAGAAAGGCAATGGAGCCCTACTGCCTCTTCCCCTCCCCAGGCAGGCCAGTCTAACAGGCAGTGCCCTGCTGCAACTTAGTGATTTGTGCAGAAAGCCGAACAACGAGCAAAGTCACCAGTCTGAAGGCTTGCCTGGTGGGTGAATCGGCACTGCGGCAGCTGCCTGCATATGCCCTTTGTGGGTTAAAGCAGCCACAAACCATTTCAGTTCTTTTATTTCATTATATAAAATAGCAAACTTAAGTCCTTTGCACAGGAAGAATCCTGCCTGCAGGCCACCTAAATATGAGGTAGGAAAGGGTTAAGACAAGGAAAGAATGTGTGGCTCTTCCATACCAAAGAGGATGAATGGCATCGCTATGATCATGGCCCACAAGTTGGGTGTTTGACTGCATCCATCCATCCATTCTGGTATTAAGAGGCATTCATTCGTGTGTTTTGTAAAGGAACCAAAAATGCAGAACGCTCCCTACAATAAATTAGGGCAACACAGCAAATATTTGGGATAAGACAACTATTCAAAGCACAGAAAAGCAAGACAAAGACATTTCCTTTCAGAGTCGGTGGTTAGCACACAGCATTCAAAATTTAAGGTACAAGTAGGCCAAGAAAATATGAACCAGGAAAGGCTCACTCATACAGGGCCCGTTTCCTCCATCTAGAGCCAGCTCTCCATCCCTCTACCAGGCAAACAGTGACTCCTTGATCAGAACAGCTGAAACACAGCTGGTAGGTTGAACACCCAATGCCTGATAAAGAAGCAACTTTGGCAGCCTCAGTTTGCAAAAAAGGCATAAAATACTGGCTGGCAAGGATCGGGGATACATTTCGAACTGAGTAAGGGCTTCATGGGCAGCAATACTGGCCAATCCCATTAGGCCAGTGCCCAAAGTTTTCTCTAAATCTGTGGTGAGGAATCTAGCTCTCCAGTTAACTCTGGACCCCAACTTCATCATCAAAGCCAATGTCAAAAGGTTGAAGATGATGGAGGCTGTAGTCCAGCAACCTCTGGAGGACCACAGTTTATCTACCCCTCCTTCAAAACTTCCCCATGGAAGATCAACAAGGCTTCCAATGGGGTTCCCTGCTTGTTATGCAGCTCAGCTGGTATGACAGAGGAGGAGCTCAAAAGCTCTGTCTCAAAACTCATGGAGAAGAAAGCCACTGAAATGCAGAACGGGCAGGACAGAAGAGAAGCCGCTGGGATTTCAGGCTACCTATCAGGCACAGAAGTCAAAGAAGCAATAAGGCCATCAAAGGCCAGTCTACAGAAGTGCGCTAAGCTATCAGCAGTGGTTTTGCACCCTTGCTGGTGGGCCAAGGCTAGATTAGGCTGCCCAACATCAAGGGCACGAGACAGCAAAGCTGCTACGCAAGCCACATGGCAACAGAACTTGGATTGGTTAAACTAAGCCTTAAAGCTAGAAGATAGGCAGATGGTTTTTCACGTGCTGCGCAGGTGCCCAGCCACCAACCAGCTATGCACCCGACAGCAGAGTACTCTAAAATAATCACAGTTATCAAATATATGACCAATTCCCTTGCCATACTACAGCAGAACTATTCCCGGCGAGGCTTACCAGCCCGTTGCTACTTTCTCTTACCTTTTCAATGAAACCCCACCACTGCCACTCTGTGGGAACACAGAGAGATTGATTCAGGTTCAGTCTGAAGCCTAGACACCCTCCTGCATGGCCTGCTCCCGCCTGGTTTTCTCCAGATGTGCTGGGCTGCAACTCCCATTACCCCAACTGGGGATGATCAGAGCTATAGCCCAACACTCCTGGGCTGACACAGTGTTCCTGTGTGAGAGGACTGCTTCGTGCAGGAAGAGCCAGTGCTCAAGCTGCAGTGCATGAGAAAAGCTACCAAGATGGCAGGCACACTATTCTCAGAGCTAGCTCAAGTCGACACGATGCAGGCCAAGCCTAGGATGCATCAGTTCCACAGCGTCAAACTGCACGGGCAAATAATACAGTGCTGGGAGTGAGGTCAACTGCAGCGGTCTTCAGACGGGGCTCACCTGAGATAGGCCCTTCCTCTCTGGAAAGAGGGCAATTGCTGCAGCTCAGCAAGGGACCGCCAAGGGCCATCCCTCCCAGCGGGACCTGCCAAACAGTGACCAAGCTAGGGAAAAATTATATTAGTCAACAAAAGAAGAGTTCTTCTGTTCCTACTACTTCTGAAGCAATGGACTTAGGAGTACAAGCTGCTCCCTGGAACCCATCTCTCGGATGTCAAAGCCTTACAGGTTAACCATCATTCAGCCGGAAATGCCATATAGCTAGAACACAAGCATCTTGTACATGTTGTATAAGAATTTAAAAGACACACGGGGCTGTTTCTACTCAGTCAAAGCTAGAAACAGCCAAGTCACCAAGGCTCAAAGCAGCATAAAAATTTCATGTTGGTCCCCAAGAAATTAAAGTGCTTTTCCCAACTACCCGACTTCCTGGCCAACAGGTCTTGGGTTAGGCTCTCAAAAGGAGCTTCTACTGGGTCATTTCAGAGGGGAGTGGGGAGGAAGGAAAGGAAGTGGGCCATGGTTTTACAGAACTAAAAAGGGGAAAGTATGGCCAGGCAGGCTACCCTGGATGAGGGGTGAGGGTGGGGGGGACTGCTTGGTTAAGGTATACCTGAAAATGAGAGTTAATAGGAAATTATATATATAGATATATATATATAAATAACACTTTCTGTAGAGAATTCTCTTAAAAGGCAGTTCTTCACAATGTGAGTTGTGCTGAAGTCCAGCAAGGCTGCCCTTCTTTCATCCTGCAGTCTGTAAGAAGTGGCCGTCTTCTGCGCACGCGTGTGCACTCTCCATTTCTCACCCTTCCGAGTACTCTCTGCCCTAAGTACAGCAAGGGTTATCAATGACCAGCATGACATCGATGCCATAGACTTCCAGTAGGTCCATGAGGAAGCTACGGTCGCCTTGGGGGTCCAAGCCCATCCCTCGGGCGTGGTCAGCTGTCAAGGTCTTGTCCTGGCTGGCTGACACCTCCATCAAGGTCTGAAATATCCGGTTGTTCTGCTCCATGAAGAACCTGCAGAGTTCATTGGAAAGGGAGATGCGTAAGGATGTGTGAAGCCCAAAGGCCAGGGACTGGCTCTTTGTTGCTTGTCCTCTCTGTCATCCCAGGTAGAAGACATTCTGGGTAGTGTCAAACTACAACCATTTAAAAGAAGAACACAGGGCGCCTCTAGTACAACAGAAGTGGCTGTCCTCCGCCTCCTAAGGGCTGAACCTTAAACTGGTGCTGGAAGGAGTATTTGCTGGTTCCATACACTCTCCAACACATTTCAACAAAGTCCTTTCCTCTGGGGGATGGTAGCTGACAGGCTCACATTTTACAGAATTCTAATTCGTGCACTGGACAGGATATTTCAAACCAATAAACTCTCCTGCCAGCACCTCCCTCTTGCTTCTCTGGCCTTTTCTCATGCTGCCTCATTCTGTTTGCACCCAGAGCCACCCACCCACAATTTTTTCAGCCTAGCGTCACCAGGTCTCCACTTCCCCAGACTCCTGAGGAGCTATGGAAGAGCTGTCCAACCAGGCTTCCCCAGGCTGTCATCACCTCTGGCTGACCAATGCATCTGAAGGAATGCCCTTTCTCAAACATTCCCAAGCTCCATGGATCTGTAATGCTGAGGACTGAACACTCTGTATGTGATGTACATGCTCTGCTCCACGGCTTAGCCATGATGTCCCCTGCCCAAGCCTCCACCACTCCACCCTGCTCCTCCCAGCTCAGCTGGAACTAGAGATGCTGCTGAGAGTTGCATGTTTGGTTTAGAATGTATCTCAGGGCCTATAACAAATGCCTCTTTTACCTGCCTCCCAACCCCAATCATTAGTGCTTTAAGTACCAAGTGGAGGTCTTCCGTTCAACCCCACTCAGGCCTGCTGCTAGTCATTCCAGGTACAAGCAGTCCCTGGGGAAGTAATTCCTCAAGGGCTACAGACACTGCAGAAACCCTTGAGAAAACTACATTTCCCAGGAGTTTTGTCACCTAAGATGCTGTATTGCTGGGTAGAACCTCATCACCACCACCACCACCAAAACTCCAAAGGCAGACAGGGAATCACTGTCGGCTGGATTGCCTGCTGGTTCTCCATCATCACAGGAAGGAGAAAGCAATGGAGGAGAAAATGGGGAAAGTCCTAAATGCCAATGAAAACAGCTTTGCACCATACATTTTGGAAATATCTGTTCCCTTCTTCCTCCCCTCACAGAAGCCATCTGAATTGCAGAATTAAGCAGAAGGGGAGAAGAAGCCACAGGGGAGAACTGCCATCAACCCCTTTCCCTGTTTCCTACTACTCCATTACTTCATCCATTCACCAGGGAGGGAGCAGCCCTCTCTGTTGGAAGGAATACACAGTCTCAACTGATGGTTCTGTGGGACTCTGTCTTCATCCTCCAGCCAGAAAACCTGCAAGCCCTGCCTCCCAGGCAGAACACCACAGCAAGGGGAAGGACAAGCTGGCCCAATCCATCAGCAACTGATGCATTTGCTTTCTTCTTCCTCCCCAACCTCTCTTCCTTTGGTCTTGTTTCTTAGCTTGAAGGTAGGGGCTGCCTTAATCTTTGTAAACTTAAGAGATTTTTTAAAGCTGAAGACCAGGGTGAAAACACTATAAATGAAGCAGGGTGTGAAGAAAGGGGTGTGAGCCCAGGGGGAACAGAGGTACGTGCAATCTAAATTCAGAAATTCTTGGAAGCAAGCAAACTATTTCCATTTTTCTCAGTAAGTAGTTCAGGTTTATTCAATTATTTATCCATTCAAGCCTATCTGGAATGGAGCCTATCACTAGCATGAAGGAATGCTCTGAAGAATCCCACATGAACAACTCACAGGATGAAAAGGTCCTCTTCGCAAGAACTACAGTCCTCGTCTACTTCCTGGGAGTACATCAGCATCTGTCTGAATGATGGAGACACACATATACCCATCAAAAACAACATATCCCAACTTGACCCAAGGTGGCCGGCAGCAGCTTTCTGGCACTCTATTCCTGCTGCAGAGGACCTAGAAAATGGGTCCCTGCAGTCAGGAAAGACTGTTTTTCGATTCTGACAATTTCAGGTGTTTTGAGGATTTATTCCATGGTTTTGGAATAAATCTTCCCCAAGAATCTTTGGATTAAAACACTGACCAATATTGGGAACAATCCAGAAACAAAATGGATTCCCACACTCAAGCTATCCCTAAACCTGGATGGGAAACCCACCCACCAACCCCGGGTGTTACCTCTGGTCATTAAGTCTCCGGTACTTTTCCTTGTCTGCACTGTTAATCTTCAGGAGTGGTTGCAGATGCTCATGGTGAGTCTTCACATTCTGGTTATCCACATAGACATCATAGAGATCCCGCTTCTCCTCAAAGATTTTCTCTGTTGTGCCTGCCATGAAAAGAGCAAGGGAATGGTTGGATCCAGGCAGAATTAATTGTGCTTTTTTAGTTATTTAACTTGCATCCTGCCTTGTTGCAAAAAGGGAGCGCTCAAGATGGCAAGGAATAATTCGGATGGAAAACAAAATCTTAATTAAAACATAACATTAAAAGAAGTCATTTATTTCTATATTTCCCAATAGCCAAAGTTCTCTGGGTGGTTCATAACAATAAAATTACAATTATAAATACAGATAACAAAGCACCACATATAATTTCAGTGTAGAAGATTTAAAACAATTTTTACTGCTGAAAAATGCTAAACAATGAACATACTAGACATGTTAAAAAGGCAGCTGATATAAATGCCATTAAATATGAATCGATGCCTGGGAGTAGAGGGCATTCTTAACCTGGCACCAAAAATATGACAGCAGTGGCGTCAGCCTCGCCTCAGTGAGGAGATCATTCTATAAGATCAATTAAAGCACAATTCAAAACACAAAAATAAAAGAAATATATGGCGCTCAAGCAATTAAAACTTCCTTTAGTGCACATGCCAAAAGCCTGTCTGAATAAGAACATCTTTGCCAATCAGCAGAAAAATGGCAGTGGGGAAACCGACATGGCCTCCTTCCACAGGGAATTCCTTAACTCGGGAGTGGCCACTGAGAAGACCCTCTCTCGCAACCCTACCAAAAATGGCTTTGACGTTAGTGGGAGGACAAGAGGACTGTGCCACAGGGATCAGTCCTGGGCCCAGCACTCGACATCTTCATTAATGGTTGAGATGAGGAAGTACAAGGAAAGATAACCAAATTTGCAGATGATACAAAACTAGGTGGAATAGCAAACGCCCTAGAAGACAGAATGAAGATCCAGGGAGATCTTGATAAACTTGAACACTTAGACCTTATTTCAGGCAATCCAGTGCTCTCCCAATGTGTTGGACAGCTCATCTCACCAACCAGCCTAGCTAACAGGAATGCTGGGAGTGATAGACTTAAACATCTGATGGGTACCAGACTAGGGAAAGCTGGACTAAGGCATCAGAAAAATTTCTATTACAAATGAACATTTGCTCCATTTAATGCTCCAATTCAAAACTTTTATTGAAAAATCCATATTACCTGAACATGCCTCTTGCCCTGCCCTGCACAAACCTAGAAAAATCTGTAGTACTTTATTCTGCTGAACATATGAATAAAGTGAAATAAGGAGCATTGAATTCCTTAATGTTCCATGTAAAAACTGCAAGGCACTCCGTGGCAGCACCTTCTTGATTTTGGCCCCAGTGCTGGCAACAGCACAGTTGCAGAATTCGAGGGAGCAAAAAGAATGAGTGAAGAGATAGAGAGCATCACAAACTTACAGGCCACATACGACACTTCTGTCTCCAGCATTTCGATGTCGGCGACATTGACGTAGAAGAAAGGCTTGGAGTCGGGAACAGTCCCACCAATACCAGGCAAGGAGACATTGGCAAGGCAGCAGCAGCAGTAAACTGCAGGCAAGGGGAAAAGGGAATGAGAGCAAGATTGACCAGGTGGCTGCTAAAGCCACCACTCCACTTTGCAAGCCCCTCTACACTGGAGAACATGATTAAGCCTAGTCTCCAAAAAAGTTATCTATGTGGCAAGAAACAGGTATGCTTCTGGATGGAATGGCTTACGCTGAAAATCAAAACAGTTCAAATGCAGTGAAAATTCTCTTTTCTAATTCTCTTTTCTGGTGATTTGCAGTAGATTGGGAACTGTTTCCAACTCCCAATCAACTGATGGTTATTTTAAAGTCTAAATTAGGATCCTGTTCTGTAATAGCTCCAGTGAGGCTTGAACCTTCTTTAACTTTGGAAGACCCAGGGACTGAAACTCAGATATTTTGCATGCCATCCATGTGCTCTAGCACTGAACTACATTCTTTTCCCTCCCTCGCTTGGAACATTGCACAGTGACGCAGTCTTCAGAGTGCATAATGTGCAACTTTACATCCCACTACCGAGAATGTTACAAGTTGCTATGCTGGATTAGAATGATCAGTTGGCTTGGAGGTGATCACAGAAACCGCCAAGAGAACTGTAAGGATAAGAGTGTAATCCTAGGCCTGCTTACCTGGAAGTAAGTCCCAATAAACTCAAGGAGACCTACTTCTGAGTAGACATGACTAGGATTGTGCTTTCCCTTATGAAACAATTCTCTGTTCCTCACAAAAGAAACTGAATTTGGCATAGATTTTACCTTAAACTGGCTAAAATCCAGGAGGGCCACATGGGACCAATAAGACTACTTTCCTGTTGGACCTTGTAGACAAACCACTAACTGGCTTGAAACTGCTGCCTATACATCTCTTTGGGTGATCCCTTAAGTCCGTGGACTTTAAAGGAGAGGAAGCATCCACCTGCCCCCATGTCTGCACCATCTGTGACTCCATGGTTTCCATCACTCCTCCAGCTCCTCCATACCTCGATAGCAGACCACACCAACAGGAGGAGGTGAAAATATCAAAATACGCTTGCGAAGCAAGGCGAACTTCCACAGTGTAAGGATCTGCTCCCCAAAGAACTTGATGAACTGAGACATACAGCCTGCAGGGTGCGTGATCTGCAGCCAGGGAGAAACAGGGCAAAGACTGAGTTGAGAGAACAGGACACCACACTGATTTTGTTTCAGGCAGGGGAGGGAGGGATGGCAGCTATAGGCAAGCAAACATTCCACGGAAGGAAGCAGGACACATTCTGGAATTTCACATGCCAAATCAGTTCCAACTTCGCGGGTAAAGGCTGAAGCACCCCTCCTAAGGCTGAGTTACTGGCAGGGAGAGCTTTCAGGTAAGTGTGCCCTGCCCTCTGAGCCCTGCCCCTTTCACCTTTGGCCCCACCCACTGCCCCAAGTGCTTCTCCAAAATAAAAGTTGGCCCTTGGGCCAGAAGCCATTCTGCACCCTCATTTTAAATGCAGTATTATTTTTGCGACATTTTTAGTTTCATGCATTTAGAAAATAAAGTCTTGTGAGCTTCCTCATCTTCACACTATTGAATACAGTTTCCAGTATTATGTGCACGATCCTACAGATATTTAAAAAGAAAAAAGGCAGAGCAGGCTAGGAATTGTAGCCTTTCTTCTGTCTAAACATGACCTAGGGTTGCACCTTAAGAAACCTAAATTTCTATGGATCTTGGGGCCTAGAAATGATAACCATGTTACTTTTATTACTAAGTATACACACCTGAACATTTACTTATGTACATTTCAGACCAAAATGTAACATCTAGCTTGTTGCAGGTGTGTGAGCATGCATGCGCATGTGCGCCGGGGCATGTAGTGCCTCTAAAAATTTATCTGAGGAGACTCCCTAAGTCTACCCAGATAGAAACAGATTCTGCAGCAGTTTGCAGCATTTTTAGATCCTGCAATGCCAGAAAAGAGCTTTCGCCTGCTCTTTCTGCCTGCTGATTTACAGTGCTGACAAAAATGGGGCTGTATCAAGGATAAGCGATGGGACCAGCACAACTTGTCTCTTACAGCAACACTGAAAAGTCTGCAAGCACCAGATACAGTTTCACCTTGAAAAATGAGCAGGTCTGGTCAGTGCCTGCATGGGTGACCACACCTGAAGCCCAAGGGCACCAATCTGAACTTCTTGGAAGGGCAAGAGAAAAACAGTGAAACCAACAAGGGCATATTGGGGAGGGCAATATGGAGTCCCAGTTTCAAATCCCTAACAGCCACTAAGCTCCTAGTGCGACTTGGTCCAGGCACATACCAACACTAACACTGAACAAGTATCTTCTGAGAAGTATTTTTCTTTATTCACCTGGTGAATCATGGACTTATCCTGATTTACCACTGGAAAGCTTCAGCTAACAGCCAGGGACCCTCCTGTACCTCCTCCTGGAATCCTGAGAACCCCGTGAAGGAGGCTATGCTGAGAAGGAGTCTGGCCCAAGGCCACGCAGTGAGACTGGTGGCCGAGCAGGGATCTGCATTTCAGTCCCCTCCACAGGGCCCCCCTGCATTTTTCATTTCCAAGGTTTGCAGCTTGCTCGTCCATTAAGAAGCTCTCAGGGTCGCAAGGAGAGCCCCTGGGTGACCCCTCATCCCTCTTGGTGGCAGAGGTCTCAAGGGCTCTATCTTGGCCAGCAGCTAAACCCTCTCCATGCAATCTGACCAACAGGAAGCATTGGTCACACTCTGCACAGTGCTTTAACCCCTTGTTGGCTCCTCACCTTCATCTCTGGGTACATGTATCTGTGGATGGAAGGCAGCCAGTGGACGGGTTGCTGAGAAGCGGAGGCGCCAGCTGGGAGGACTCCTTTCTTGTCATCATAAAAGGCTTCCAAGTGAGAGTAATGTCCCGGCATCTCCAGCTGGTGCCTGGAAGACAAGCGAGATAAGCCAGGCATGTTACGGAGGAGCCTGCGGAGGGGCCTTTCAATCCAATGAGCAGCCCACCTTCTCAACTGGCATCGGCAGCACATGCTAACCCTTCTTCGGGACCAGGGAGTTCTTCCTGCCAGTTCTGCTGCAGGAAGCTCTTTGTTAGCTGTGAGATTCCTCACGAATCCTGTATCCAATTGGCACAGCAGAACTAAACTCTCTTCATGCCCTCTGACTAATGGCACCAGGGCACGGGTGGTGCTGTGGCTGAGCCCACCCATTTCTTAAATTTCTTTCTTCTGGAGGGGACCTTTTGCTGGGCAGTTGGCAGCCAGCTTAGGATGGATGCACCATGCATTGCGTCCAAAGTGCAAGATTATCTCATCCGAATAAATTGTCAAGGAGAACTGCTGGTGGGACACCCTCCTTGCATGCATAATTCTTGGTCTGGGAGGAGGCTCACACTTACGCAAGTGCCACCTGAGAGCCTGAATGGCTGCATGCAGCTTCTGTGTCCCTGCCTCACTTTAGACACCACAGGAAAAGTCCCCATTCCAGGCTTTGCATTTGCTGTCAAAGCCTCATTAAACTGCCAGAAAAGCACCATGGCTTCCCAACACACCCTCAAGAACCACTCCCAAATGGATACCGGAGCAGACGGCCTCCATCTCTCCCCACGCAGGCCCTTCCCCTAAGGACATACCTGACCTGGTTCTCCAGAAAGTGCATGTATCGGTACAAGAGGGTGTAGGAAGGGGAGAGAATCCCCACAGACTTCATGCGGGCCCCACGCTCTAACTCGCTTTCCACGGGCATGTTGGCGAAACAGGCCAAGCCGAAGCAAGGCCCTTTCCGGAAATAACTGCAAAGGAGCATGGGATGGGTTGTCAGCAAATACGCAGACCAGGAAATGAAGACATACAGGGAGAGCAGGACCTGCCGTGTTGGATGCAATAGCTTTCCCCAACCCAGCACTCTCCAGACATTTCAGGCTATGTCGCATTGGCCATGCTGGCTGCAGGGGAAGCGAGCTGTGCTCCATTCCCCTGAGGAGTGCCAGACTGCAGAAGGTAAATATGGGGTATGCAATATGGGGAACAGCAGGGCAAAGTCAAACCCAAGAGCAGAGGCCACCCGGACAAGGAAAGGAATTTCCAGCCAGCCCAGTGATGCCTCTTCCTCCCCCCCACCCCCAATAAGCTCGCTGTTCATTCCTACGGGGAAAAGGTATAGTGGTAGCCTGATCACCAGCAACAGGGATCCTAACTGGGGTGCAGTGTGGACCAGTGCATGCAGCATCCCCAGCAGCTTAGTGCAAAATGCAGGCCCGCCTTGCACAAGCCTGCGTGCATGCTGGGGATGCGCGAGGAATCCATCTGGGGGGCGGGAATCCATCCAATTCCCTGGGCTTGGTTCCCCGGATGCCAGTCACCCTCTCAGTGGCCCACATTCCAAGTTCCTGGTGAGCACTCCCGGCGTCGCAGGGTGTCCCTGGGAATCCGCTCCCACACACAGCGAACCAGTGCCTGCTACTGCCAGCGGCAGCAGGCGGAGGAGATGGGTCACCATGTACGGCGCCAGGTGTGCTTGCTCGCAGTGATCGACTTCCCTGCCTGTGACTGCTGACGGAGGTGGTGTGCAAGGGCAGCACTGCAAGTGTGCTTGCCAGGTGCCGTGCCCTTTTCCCCTGCCCGCTACTGGGATCCACAAGTGTTTGCAGACTTTCTCTTGGCTTGGCTCGCTTTGCAGAACTGGGCTGAGCACAAGAGAACGTCCGCAGAGCCTGAAGAGACAGATTTTGAAAGGGTTTGTCCCAACCTCAGTGCACGTGGCCCATTGTAATGCAGGCGGGGTTTGCTCATCTGGACCAAAACTCCTCCTCCACTTAACTGAGGAAGCTTGTGCACTCCTGGACCAACGAAGGACACATGCCGCAGGAGGAGAAGGCTGGGGACTGTCTGTACACTCACATGAAATCTGACTGAATTTTATGGGACCCGCTGGCCATGGATTTGAACTCGATGCCTTCCAGGTCGATGTCTTGCGGCAAACACCATTCAACCATGTTACCTGCATAGAAGGGAATGCAAGGAGGGACAGACGTTGAGCCCACACAAGAATTGCTTTCAAGTCTTTCCCTGTGGTCTCTGATTGTCCCGGTTTTGGCAGTTCTAGGTTCTTAAGCACCCAGAATTCCACACCAAAAGTTCCTTCGTGAATGTGTGTGATTTGTGTGTGTGTCATGTAAAAGCATGCTTCTTAACAATGCAAAGTTGTGTAAAAGTTGTGCAAAGCCGTGACTGCATCTTGCTCATGCTACAAGACCAGGTTACAGGCGTGTGTGAGCGTACAGGCAGGGTGAGTGTGAGAGACAGAAAGAGGGAAATTTAGTTTATATATTTGCAAGGCCCTCCTCCATCCCTGCAGTGTAATCCACCCCTCTGGTCCCAATGTTCAAACTATGAGTGCCATTGAGTATGCAGGTAAAATGCCACTGCTCATGTATGAAGTTGCACAAATGGGGGGGGGGATTTATTTAAACTTTTCATATATTGTCGAATCATTACAAAATCTCAAGATGGTTTACACAAAAGAGACTCTCTCTCTCTCTCTCTCTCTCTCTCTCTCTCTCTCTCTCTCTCTCTCAACAAACATTATTACAACAATGAAACAGTTAAAAACTCCTAAGTGCCAGCACTTGCTGAAGCTAATTTAAATGCCATTATTAATTTAAAAACTGGGAGAAACCAAATGCACGCAAAAAAACTCTATGTAGACTGAACATGCTCAGTGGCCACAGCATGGTGGCTGCCTCTTGGGGGGTGGGGGGGGGATGGAAAACTGGAGCAGGCCATGACATGGAATCCTACACACAAGTGCTCCATGCTGCAACATTTTGTGGCAGGTTTCATTTGCACGCATAATTACAGATAGGTGAGTTACTTTCCTATTGCATTCTTTCAACAGCTTCATCCTATGGATCACATTCCATGAAGCCCTCAGTTGTCGTCTGACTGGTCAAACAGGCATGTCTAAATCGACTGCATTGATTAGCACAACTCTTCTTAGGGCACTTACTGAAATTTACTGAAATCACTGCTTAATAAGTTGATGCCAGAGCAGTTTCACACACCCTCACCTTTCCCTTGTCTTGAGGAGCCCCCACCCCTTTGGCCTGGTTTCAGCAATTAGTGACCCCCCTCTCCCAGCATGCCTGTTCCAGGAAAAGCCAAATACTAACCGAGATCACACTCCCAAAATTTAGTATATGCGGATTAAGAGACAGAGAATGGAAACCACCACGAAAGTCAACACTGAGAGCCTGTTCCAGTTAACACATGTGCCTTTTTGCATTTATTAATTTTCTTTCCTCTTTTATTCTGCATCTAGGATTTAAAGTACAGACCACACTGAGGAATACTCTAACCTTAAAATTACACACATGCGATCGCATGATCATGATCACGCTTGTCTTCCCTAAACAAACACGATTGCGGCCATACCCCACCCCCGCCGCCCACCCTGAGTACGATTGCTATCGCACGATTATCCTTTGGACTCTACCTCCAAACAATAACCTCCCCCCACCTAGGTTAGTGTTCTCAACTGTACTGTACTTTGTTACTTTGTTGTTCTTTGTTACTTTGTTTCAATTTTTTGTGATTAAAAAAATATTTATAGAACAGATTAACCTTATTTACATTGAACCTTATGGGGAAATTTAACAGCTCACAACCAATTTGAGTTATGACCAGAGTCCTGGAACAGATTAAGTTAGTGAGCCAAGGTACCACTGTATGTCTAATTTTCAGCCGCTCAGGTATAGCAATAACATTGGATTACTAGTGTTTGTGATCTCTTGTCTCTGTGATGTGAATTTGTATTCATTATATATCAGCACATCCCAACACATCCCGACCAAAACGGCTCGCGATCATGTTCATAGGGGTCAGAACAGATTAACCTTATTTACAATGAACCTTATGGGGAAATTTGATTTGGCTCGCGACCAATTCAGGTCGCAAGCAGAGTCGTGGAATGGATTAAGTTCGTGAGCCAAGGTACCACTGTGTAAGTCAGTGGACCCACGCAATTGGCTAAGGACGCCATTTAAGAGGCACGGCAGCTGCATCATGGGCTTGTATAAGAGAGTTGCAATACAGGCAGTTCTCCTTCCAGTTGCTTCCCTAATGATCCATGACAAAGAATTTGCCCTTCCCACAGGAGCTGCACACTGGGACAATGGTCTCCATCCAGCTACCCACCACAACCCCGAGATCCCTTTCTTGGCCAGTCAGGGCCTCTCAGGCTGCATCTGTGTATATGTAGAATTTGGATGCTCTTTGCCCCCCGCAAAGGCACATCGCTTTTATGTTAGTTACACTCACACACATTTGCCATATAAATGCCCGTTCCCCCAGCTTGGGCACACCCTCTAAGAGCAATGCACTGTTCCTTTTCATTTCATAGTGAAATCAGCATAGCAAAGGAGGGGATTGAAACTTTTTAATTTTACAAAAGTATTATTATAAACTATACCGGACGACGGCAGATGGGACACGGTGTATGCATGCATGCCTTAGAATAGAGAAGCTCAGATTTAGATCCTCAAAAGTAATAGCTTTATTTAATAGCTCCCCTTCGCCCCACAAACTGCATCCATTCAGACAGGTTTTCCGAATCTTGTGTCTTCCAGATGTGTTGATTCCCACTGGCCATACTGGCAGGGAATTATGGAAATTACAGCCAAACCTATCCCAAGGGTACCAGGTTAGAGAAAGGCTAGACTAAGATATGTAGATTAGAACTCCACCATCATCTCATTACCAGCTTGGTTGAACTTGACACAGATGTTGCTTGCCAATTGCTAAAATTATATTTAGCTATTGAAATCATATATTGCTGGCCAAGTTCACTGAGGAGTTTGCACATGTCCAGTTAATCAAGCTTTGCAGAAAGCAAACCTTAGTGCTCTAAGTTTTAACCGGCTGTAATATAGTAGATTGTATGGGAGGGGGGAGATGAAGGTAAGCTCAAGACTGTCCTACAGTGGCTGCCCCTTCCCTTTATTTTTATTTATTTATTTAAAACATGTTGACCCTGTCTTGTATCCAAGGATGGATCTCTTGATGGCTTACAAAAGACCATGACTATAACAGCATTAGATAAAATGAATTTCCAATTATAAAAATGTAAGATAATTCTATGTCATACATTAAAAACCAAGCAAACATTACAATATTGGGTAAATTAAAAGGTTTTGGTCTGGCACTGAAATAAATAAAGTGTCAGTGGCATGTGCATCCCTTTAAGGAAAAGATTCCAAAGCTGGGGTGCTAAAACAGAAAAGGCCCTTCCCCAGGGTAGTCCCTCTTCTAACCTCTTTCAGAGGGCTCCTGGAGAAGGTCCTCAGAGGAAGATCTCAAGGTCTGAGCAGGTATATATGGAAGGAGAGATTCCTTCAGAGATCCAGGCCATAAACCATTTTGGACTTTATATGTTAAAGTTAGCAGCCTTCAATCAATAGCCAGTGAAGATGGCTGTGATCTGCATTATGTGATCTTATCTGCCAGTCCTAGTAAGCAATCTTGAAGCTCTATTCTGCACCAACTGAGGAATCCAGACCGTTTTCAAGGGTAGCTCCACATAGAGCCAGTTACAATAGTTCAGCTGGGACAACCTCGATCACTTGGCTTTGCCTTTCCAGGTAAGGATGCTGCTGATGGACCAGCTGAAGCTGGTGGAAGGTGCTCAGCAGCCACCTGAGATTCCAGAGATAGCTCTGGGTCAAGGACTCTCCCAAACTGTGTGCCTGCCCCTTAGGGGGAGTGCAACCCTGTCTAGAACAGGGTGAAGAACAAGCCCCATGTAGCTCTCTGTGATTATGGGTTAAATCAGCCTCCTCTCAATTTGGTGCCTTCTGTTCGACTACAACTCCTATCAGCCCTCCCTCGATTAGTCATGCTTGTTGGTGATGAGGGGTGTCAGCATCCTCCAAATGTGTTTGGCTACACATCCAATCATCCCCAACCTGCACGATTCATCAGGGGCTGATGAGAACTGTAATCCAACACATCTGGAAGCCAGCCAAGTGAAGTCAATGGGACAACTACTATCTTCAGGGGAAGTGCCACTGTTGTATGTAAGATTCCTTCTACACCTTAGGCCATTTGTCTATCCATCCAAGTAATCCGACTGCAAGTAGCATTCCAGGGTCTCAGGCAGTTCCTTCCCAGAATCCACTACTTGGTCCTTTGATGTACATATTCCTCAGAGTTCTGGTGTTCTGAAAGGGAAGCTGCTGAAACAGCTCCAGTGTAGTTGGGTTATTAATAGACTTGCATACTTGCCCCCAGAAAGTTCATTTCTCCTCAATAAATCTTATCTGTTCCTCAAGTTTGTTGGAATGTATAAAATTCTACTACTTAAACGCAAGCATCTGAGGGCAAATTCTTATTTAATACAGTTCTATATTGTTCAATGCCTGAAGCTCTAGAGCTGATCCCCCTTTAAAGGGCAGAAGTTTAATTTGTGACGTTAGCAAAATGCCTTGGGAAACAGAGTGGGAACAGAGAAAGATCTCTTCTATAGAGCCGAGCTCTGTCTTGTCTGTCCGGACTGGCAATGGCTTCCTATGGTTCCAGAGACATTGGCTATTGAGCCTCGGTTCTTCTCAGACTGGGCACCAGCATGAGATATGCTTGGGCAGCCGTCAGGGTCCCAGAACCCCAGCAGAACCCACTGTTATGCTGACTCCAGCCCTGGTCTCCCTGCTTTTAGCTGGGTGTGAGTGACCATTCTCATTTCCCACAATGCCCCAGTGAAGCCTCTCTCTGGTGCATCTAGTAAATGTAATACAAGGCTCTCGTTCAACTCCGTTCATAATACCACTGCCCACTACTACCTTCAGTGCAGGAGAGGATACAGGAGATGGCATTTTGCCACTCATAGATCTTCTGCAGGGGTTCAGAACTTCAGGCCAAGGGCCCCAATCCAACCCTCCAGGAGCCCCAGGAAGACTCTGTCCCTTCTCTCCAACAATCGGTGTTTGGGCTTTCCATTTTCTCCTA